ACTACGAGCTACTATCGGTAGATAAATGCTGTTGAAGTAATTGTAGCAGACCAACAGCTTCTTGGTCTAAGAGTTTGTCTGCTTGGTTGGATGATGTTGGGGGTGCAGGGAATAAGGCTGCGGCTAAAGGGGAAAAGGAGATGCCGGTGCAATAGGACTGGGACGAATGGCTACAAGATTAAGGAAGAGGGAAAGTAAACGAATAGCGGAGTTCTCGGGCCGAACGCGATAAGAATAAATCGAAGCGGCGATGATGGAAACGGAAGGAGATGGCCGGTCCTTGCTTGGTAGCTTTCATTTTTCACGATGCGCGCATTTCTCTCAGTTTGTGCCTCCCCCTGCCGTCGCCGTCGCTGCCATTACTTCTGCGCCAATCCTTTCCCTCAACAATTGTTCTCGAGTCTATACGATCGAGCATCGTATGGAGACGGCTGGCCAAGATTCTCTCGATAACTCAACTATCAGTCCCTAGTAGACTTACAACAGAAGCGTGCCGCAATTAGTATTGATTGTAGAACATATGGCTAGTAACATTAGACACGTTTCGGAGCTACTTACCCTTCGAATCATTCTACCGAATCTAGAAATATAATAAAGCTGTTTGTTAAAGTCCAGTCTGTGGATTCTACGATTAAATTATCGCTTTTTTTATGCACAAATGTGTTTCTGAACGTTTACCTCACATGGCTGGTATAGTAAGTGTATACTACCGAAATCCTTTGATTGTTTTACAGCGTTATGCACAGATAAATATGTGAGACGTATACAAGTGCTGCCCCCCCCCCGCAGACGTAGAAAAATAAATCAAATATTCTAATTGAAATACTTAGGCATATTGATATGAAAAAGCTTGCGTACGAGTTATTGCGCTAGATTGGATACTTTTATAATCTTATGCGTGACTGCTTGCGTTATCTCCGTGAACTACGCATGAATAGGCTGGTAGGGACAAAGAGTGCCCCTTTCCAACCTCCGTTTGATACTGTAGTTGTCGTCGCTGCTGCCAAGACAACCGACACCGTTTACCGTCTTTTACACGATGGTTTGACCTATTTTCTTTTATTTCATGTTTCTCCATATCATTTTTCGCCCTCGACTAGACCTTGCCTGAGCAAGCTGCCCATATTTCTCCGTCTTTCCATGCTGCCGTTTTTATCTTCTTTTCGGTAGGAAATAAGCAACAAACGAGCATGTAGAGAAGCCAAGGTCACTCAAGAGGAAAGCATGTTGGCTGGATGTGTGAAGAATAGGCGCAAATCAGCTTTCAAGGAACTACGGAGAAGGTGTCGGCCAAGTCGAGCCACTTGGGCTGCGCTAGGGGCTACGGCAAAAGCCAGGGGTCAGATGATGCATTGTTTTCGCTGACCTTACGCAAAAACGCACACATAAGTACACTCACTTACAGTCAAACACACACATTTCAGTCCACCTTTCTCCTGTGCTTAGCCAGTACCTTTTTTTCCATTCTTACTATACCGCAATGAAGATAGGCCAGCGGTTTCTCGCAGAACGCCGCTACTGTTGTCTCATACCCCCCAGTCTCCAGGTGAAAACCAGGCTCACAAAGTAGACTGAGCACGAGCAAAAAATGGAGCAAACATAGGAAAGCAGGCACTGCAACTGTCCAACAAAAGAAGAGCGGGGATTGTGGACAGAACTGGACGCAACCTAAGAAGAACGATGAATTTTTCAGCCACTGGCCACCGAGTTTGTTTCCTTCACAAATGCTTCTCTGCCTTCTTTCCTATACTCTACACCACTGGACAACAATACCATATTGCCTTTTGTCATATACAGACATGTATAGGTTTAGAACGGTCTACGGCTACATAACCTATTCGGTAGACACCGGGCTACTTACAACTTTTGCACGAACCTACACTAGAGAAGTAGAGCCTTATATCCATGGGAGTCGAGCTGGTCCCGTCCAAAAAGAATGACTGGTATCGACCAAGTTGTGTTAGAAGAGACTAGCCTCTGCTGAGCATACAAGCTTCACCCAGCATCGGTTCTTCCAGGGTTCCGCGTGGGGAGCCCCGCCGCTGTGCAACAATACACTGTGGGGCGTCTCATGACGTTCTCCCAAGCGTTTTTTTTACGACGGAAGAAAAGTCTTGAATCTCCGTTTTTCACCCGCTCGGAAAGAAGGGACTGCCGAAGTAGCAGTCGTCCTACTAGGCATGGTGTACAACGGTCGTAGCAGCTGCCCTTTAAGGGCAGCTGGCTTCCATCGCCGCGCCTGCAGGGTCTCCTGAGTGACGCCGGGCTATGCCGGTCGTTGATAAAGTGAACTCGGTTCGCCGGTCTTGTGCAGACAAGCGATGAACGGGAGCGAGACATACGAGCTCAAAGCAAAAGCACTGGGAGCAGCAGTAGCGGCATCGGTGGGTAGGGTCGTCTTGGCTTCCTCTTTCTTCTTTTGAACCTTAACGAAGCCGTGGGTCGGCGATGAATCCCGCTGCAACTTTGCCGTCTTACCTGCTGAGAGACGCAAAACCCCAGAAGGCGCCACCTCTAACAGTGGGGTTATCCGAAGCGACCGTGATGGGGGGGCTTATGACGGCGTAGAATTTGTCACTCGTACGTCACTTCTTATTCGCGGCCTTGCTCTCTACTCTTTCTTTCGGCGTCCGTCTCGTGGGATTGCAATAGATCTTACCTATTTTCGACAAACACTGCTCACATAACATATTCGTTTAAACTACGATCATAGTTTGATGTTCGGAAATGCATGGAGAGTTTATTTGTTCACGAAGAGTTTTCTTCGTATTCTAAACATAACCATTTCTGGTTATATTTGTATTTGAATAAATATGCCTTACTGAAATAAGGCACATATACGAATTGGTTTAGAACTTTTTTAACAATTATTTTTCATCACTATCTATCGGCGCGTATCAATAATCATTTTCGGGCGTTAGACCCAAGATTTGGAACTTTAAGTTGCCAGCAACACGTCCGTCTTTGCATTACCAACAATGTATTGAATGGTCACAGAGCGGCAGTGTCTGTGCTTTTCGTTTAGATAGTTCTGTACGAAGGCTCTCTGTTACTATGGTTTCTACCATCTTTGTTGCAACTAAGAAACTGCTCATTTTAAAGCGGACGACCACGTGAATTCCGTTCATTTTGGTACGAACAGACAAAGCAGACCAGCGATTCCGGTGGAGCCTAGTAATATAGTGCTCCACAACTACTCCCGACGCCTGTCCTCTGTTCCCAATCCAGCGCCATTCTGCGCGCGTTCCTCACGACCCCCCCCCCCCCCTCTAATGCTGGCTTTAATGATGTTCTTCTTATGTTGTAAATTCCATTAAGATCCACGAGTAAGACTGGCTGCTACTGCTGCTGGATGAAAGCACTGGCCCGCGCCTTCACTAGCCTGAACTCGCGAGTGAGCTCCCCGTCGTCACTTGCAGTGCCTCCTCTTTCTCTCCTGCCACGTCACCCTAGAGTCTAGATCCCACTAGGTCTCGTGTTCATTAAGGCGATTTTTAGACGAATGAGTGAACGCCACAGACCGAGTAGTTGAAGAGATCAGATGTGATCAGAGGGCGGATAGTTGTCTTGACTGATTTTGCCCGCTGCTACCGCAAAGCATACGTCTCAGTAAGATCTGGACCTCACTGCTGAAAGTCTATAAGTTCCTACCTCAGACATTTTGAAAAGAATACAAGCAGGAATCCTTGGCACTTTATGAAGCATAACAGGTTTCGAGAAGGTGAGTGGTTTTTAGGGAACCACTTCCCTATTCACATTAGAAAGAAATGGAAGCTCTTGACCCCCCATGGGCCTCACTCAATCCTGATTCCAATAACCGAGAGATTCATGGTTCATATCGGTCATTTTTTTGTTATGCTAAACTTTCATTAGCGTCGTAATTGGATTACTGTGGAAGTTTTTCAAGTAACTTGGAGCCCTCGCCATTTCACCATTAAAAAACTGATCACTGTCAAAAGATCATTACTGAAAAGGCCAATACGCGGAGTAACCTCTATTCAAACAAGCGATAGTCCGTTTTTCGCGTACGACAAGTAGGATCTTCTCGAAGGCTAGGTTTGATACCTATTTTAATGTGAATATTGCTATACCGAGATTTCCGATTTCATGAGGTTTGCGAAATGCAGCGATGAAATTTAAGTGGACGCAAATGCATCTGAGCCCGGTTTGCTTTATGAGAGAACTAGCAACAATTTCGCATTGAAATGCCTACGTGTGTTCGTCTATCACCTCCAAAACGAAAAGATGTGCTTCCCCTAATGGGACGTTATGTTGACTTTCCCACTATTGCGTGGCCTTTCGCCTCTCGCGCCGTTAGTCACGTGCTTTATTTCACTGTTTCGTTCTCCATTTACGTGGCATGCCCCTGCCACCGCTGCGCCAGTGCATGACTGAAAAGTTGTTTGAGAAAAAGGTCACCGACAATTGGTGGTGCGGGCTCTCCACACTCTCGCACGGCCTCGGTCGGATGAGCATTGTTGTGCCGGACAAATGATGCCACAGACGGACAAAAGTTAACGGTTCTTTGGGGGAGAAAGCTCATCTCGAGTAGCGGAAATGGGTCGTTGTCGCGCTATTAGCACCATTGCCGCTACCAACTCTTCGACATCAACTCATCCTTTCCTCCCCCGTATGTTTCTTCTCTATCACACACAAACCTCCCTAATGGACCTACCTAGGTCATCTGACAATTTCGTGTTGGACTCCCCTCGCCTTTCGTCTCGTTCCGACCACAGTTCTACCCAAACCCCCTACACTATCCACGACGCCCTCCCTCACTGCCAAAGCCTCCGCTACCGCAGCTGCCAACTTCTAAAGTGCAGGTGTCGAAACTTGCAGACTAAAAAGCGTCGACCATTATCGCGAGTAGTAGCCAGCTACCTTCATGTACCGTTGGACAATAGAGATAACGAAATAAAATTGACATAATCAAACAAGCCTTTCTGCAATAGAGCAGGCTCCATCTAAACCTCTAAATCGGTTCACTTATCTGGTTTCAGAGTTAAAAAGCAACACGTTAACCAATACGAGCAAACACGGCGGTCTCGCAGCTTCGACCAATTCGCATATCTACCATTGCGGCGATGACCATCTGCAGACGAAGACCGCTACCGCAGACGGTTACTCACCGTTTGCCTATTCTGGCACCATGAATTCGACTGTTCCCGTTCGGCCCGTGCAGAGCAATCCTCGGCCGTACCACACATTAAGCCAACTGAATAACGCGCAGCACGGAGCGCAGGTGAGCATGTTATCATGTCACACTAGTCATATTTCCGTCATTTTAGTGTTGCATCACAATGCTGTTGTTCCAAGCCAATACTTGTATTTATTATACTTCTACTTGATGATGATTCAACAGATCGCTGGATCTCAGTATCAATTTCATCAGCCAAATCGGAATCTTCGAAAGGCCCTGGAGTCAGGCTTTAGTTGGAAATGTTCGGCGGTCGCGTTCATCTTTATCGCTCTCGCACTTCTCGCCGCCACTGGATACATTTATTGTAAATAGTTTTGCTTTTTTACTCACTAATTAGTTATTTACGCGATAATTCAATTGACTATTTCCTGCAAAATGTTTCGTTTATACATATATGGGACACACAGTAGGGACCTGCTTGTGCTAATGAACTAGTACTGCTTTGTTTTATACTGACATTAGAAAAAGGTAAGGTTCAGTACAGGCACTGCTCGACTAAATTATACTTTCTAGATTGGCCCTAGTAATAAAGCACGATCACATACTTGCACAGATCTGGGTTATTGGCAATTTACTGATTGAATGTTCGGAGTCTGTGAACAAATTCTAATTTGATATACTGCTGTTTCTACCGCTTTTCAGTTACCCGGACATCGGGTCGAACTGGCCAGCATATGCCTGTCGTCGTGACGGACCTACGCTCATCCGAGACGTTGGACACACGGCCAAACCTTAAAAGTAAGCAAGCAAACAAAAGCGAAAAGCAAGTACTACACGGCATCGGCGTTAACGTCACCGAGGGCGTTGTGACGGTCTTAATTGCTTTGGAGAAGAACGGTCTAACAAGTTTTTGGACGAAACAACTGCCGAAAGCTGACGAGAACGTTGACATCAACCAGTCGTTTACGTTGCCATTAAAAGCCTTATCATTACGTTCTTTTAACAATTCTTCGTTGCATTCTTTTGTTGACATTGAACTTTTAGCACTACCTTTGGTTCAGCAAACTTGGGTTATTATGCACGGCATTAACAAGCCCACTGTAGCTGTTGACATCCCTGCACGCGAAGCCCACAAACATCTGATTAATCACGATAGGGTTTCGGTCGATATTCACGAACGTAGATTAATCATTAGAAAAGCTTTCGCAGAGGTGATGGATACTATAAAAGCCAGTAGTTTTGATACTGAAACCACTAACTTTAACAGCCGCATTGGTGGCGCCACCGCTGCCAATGTCGATAATGCTCCTGGTCAAAGCGTCTCTGAAAATTCACTTTGCTCTTACGTCACTAACCCGAATTGGTTCAACGGAACTGAAATGAAGTCTGTAAGTCATCGCGCTGTGGCAGGAGTTTGCATCGTTCCGTATAAAGTTGTGCATTTGCATGCAGCGATAAATAGGAGTCAGGCGGAGTCTCTGCTGCGGTATCATATTGCGCCGGAGTGCAGTTCCGACGACATAGTTGTGCGGCACCAGGAGCAGAAGGAGACGGATACGCATAGACAACTGTCCCAAGATTCTGCTGCGACCACTGGTATGCCAATGGAAAAGCGCGTGTCCGTTGTGCCCATCACCACTTCTGCCTCGAGTGGCTCCAGTCGCGGTAGCGGCTCACACAAAGGAGGCGTCGACAGCGGCAAGTACATAACAGCGGATGCAGTGGCGGGGGTGGTAAGAACTTTCAACAATAGAAAGCTTCTGTCGATAGACGCGGAGGGTGGGAGCGGTGCGGGCCGGCTTCCGGAGGAGACGCTACACTCGAGCTACCGAGAGAAAGAACGAGATAGTGTGGGCAGATATCAATATTTCGAGGCTACGTTCCCGTCGAGTTCGTCGATGGAATCCGAGCGACACGAGATGAGACAGGATGTCGAATTGGTTCGTCCGACCCTAGTCGATGCCGGTAGCGACGATCAAGGCCCTGATGGCGAGGAGAATCTTTGGAAAGAAGCAGAAAGAGACTATTTTTCCCATTCAGTAACGTGGTCCTCGGGCGGCGACGGTAACGAAGACGGGATCCCTGGTCCGGATGATGATAATCTCAATAGCGCACGACGGAGTGACGATGTCGTTGCGAACCGCGTAGACAAGGCGGCGACTTTTAGCAGGGACCAACCGGCTGCCGTCCCTTCTATTCTAAAAGAAACGTATACAGCTAAGATCAATACTGAGCAATTTTTAAAAGGAAACGTTGTTGCAGACGAGTTGTTGTTGAGTCTAGATCAACGTAGGCGTGACTCACTAGCCGACCATGGTCTAGGCGAGAAAATGTTACAATCAGACGACAACTTGGCTGGTCTGATTAATTTTGACTCAGGTTCCGGGCAAGATACTGTGGACGGCTCTGGATTCGACGTTTTACACGAAGAAGCAGAAGGAACGGAGTCGGACAGCGCGACAGTGAATTACCTGGAGAGTAGAAACGGGGCGTTTGTTACCGAGATAGGTAAAACCACTGCCGAAAATTCGCAGAAGGGACGACTAGAGAAGAACACCGAAGGACTCAACAGCATTGATATCCCCAACGGAAGACGAAAAAAAACTGTGGAACAGAGGTCAAAGCCCAGAAAAGAGCATAGGAAATCACGACGGAACGCTGCCGACGCCAAGACAGCCTGTCAAGGTGGCCTGCCGCTTCTGCCAGACAATGCGGAGATGAAGACATCAATGATGTTTGGAGGACGAACCGTTGACATGAGCTGTCACTGCTCACCCATCAGAGAACGCACCTGGCGGCGTCGAGTCGGAAGAGAACAGCCGATTATTTCTCAACAACAGATACCGAGGTTGAACGATATTGGTGACGATGTTAATGATGATGAGGAAGAAGTGGCGGTGACGTTAGTGAAGCGGGACGAGGGCATCGTTCGAAAAGGCAAAACAGCTGGTCTAACGAAGAAGTTTTCGGAACAGCCTATAAAGGAAGATGACCCAAACTATCGCTCGGACGCTTCTGATGATTACGATTATTCAGAAAATGACGTGGACGATACTGATGCTTATACTCCACCTTCGCCACCATCACAGAATGACTTGTACCCTTACCTTGTGGACAGCGCTCAATTTAAAAATGAGCTTCGTACAGCTAAGGCCTATTTGCGGCCAATGATCGTCTATGCCATTACAAAGCCAACTCTGAGAAAAGAAGGGAGTGAGACTACATCCACAGTCAAGGACAGTTTTGCTTACGTTACCGAAAGGCTTGACAGACCTATCGGCAAGGATAAAGTTCGCATGCAGGATGTAGAAGACACGGTGGCTATAAATCAATTCGACGACAGGCTAGAACAAAAAGAACTTATGTTAACCCTCTCAGCAAGTAAGGGTAAAATTAATTCATTTTTTCAAGACATCAAAAATTCAGGAACGATGGCATCATCAGTTAACGGCGAAGGTGCAAACACTTCCGTTACCGTCAATAATGATGGCGATAGGAGTCTGTCATCTGTCAATGGACCATTCTTGGGCCATCGTCCCGGTTCCTCTCAAGGTACTTCGCACCAAGGGCTTTCTGGTAATGAGTCTCGCCAAGGAAAAGGGAAAGCAGAAGGACGGCCCTATGTTGGACTTAATGGTAAGGCGCGCGACCTCAAAACAGATAGCCACGCTCAGGTTAACCCCTACAATTTCCCTGCAACCTAGCAGCAAGCAACCCGCTTTTTCAAGTAAGCGCCCTCAAGCAGTGAACCGTCGAAGGACGGCACCAAACGACGCGGGACCTCGACCCGACCATCCGCCTGTTCTCGCTCCCCGTTGCAAAAACAACCCCGCGGTGCAACCGTTAGTGTGACTCTAGAGCACATACACGTTATTGCCGCTACGTTCTTTATCATTCCTCTGCTTTCTATCATTTTGGCGGCGTGGTGCTCTTCGCGTTTGCCTTCCATTTCCTGTGCTGTCTCTTTGCAGATGCTACTGAAAAACCGCAACTTTATTTCGTCTACGTGGACCCTCATTGGTTACAGAGCTAACTCAAAAGCTCTTCGACGACAGCAATCTATCATGACCAAGCTTTACCAGCAGCCCCTCCGCCCCTCTTTTCCCTTCCTCGTTTGCTTTCAAACCATCGGGCACGGGACACTTCGCCGTTAGCTGACATTTATTCTTTCTCCGTTTCAACTCGTTTTTTCTCTTGCTATCCCGACCCCTCTGGCATCGCCCATGAATGCTATCGCACTAGAAGCATTGGCTATCGTCATTGACATAACTTTATTCAATCGCTTTAATTATATCTTCAACATCGTACAATGTAGATGCGCGCGTGCTAAATACCATTATGATTAATGGCATCTTAATCTACCAGTAGCGCTGCCTCTGTTCTTCCGTTTCATGTGATGTCGCGCCTTCTAATTTGATATTCAACAGAAGCGAAAACGAGAGAAGGGTACTGCATGTCCGAGCACAACTCATAATATATATGCAGTTAATAACACTATGCATACCTGTCTGCGTATAATTACCTTAGTCACACGGTATTAAATATAGTTATTTAAATATTGTTTTTTAAGAGGACTGGCGTTATGTCAGTTTGCCTTAACTATTATAATTCGGAAAATCCTTTGAAAGTATATTTTCTTTCCGATTACTTATTCATCACACTGTCATTATTATAAATGTCAGATTGTTCAGTAAATTTTAGTGCTAAAACTGAGCAGTTTTTTACGAACTTCTCTAAGATTAATTAGCAACCACAATGCAAAATGCTTCAGTACATCACTCTTGCGAACTGGCAAGCTCTTGTCATAGATATCGCTGAAGTGGCAGTCTGCCTTCAAGCGGCAGAACGGTAGACGCGTATTGCCAGTAGCACTCAAATTCGTCTTTCGCCAGGCATCGATTCGTTCCTCACTTTGATCCCATAACAAAATTCAATCCAATATCCTTCACTAAGATGCGCATCCACTGCGCTTGGGGTTCACGATGGGATGGGACAGAACCGGAAAGGAGCAATCCCAGCGGGTGGCTGATGCCTCTCCGCCATGCTCTTTCCTCCGCCAGCACTGGGCGTTTGGGACTAGAACTTAATAAGGTCACCCCGCGCGTACACAACGCAGCCCAGATTTCCAATCGGGCTTTGAGTCTGCGGAAAAGGGGGGATGGAGTTTAGGGGAGGAGAGTGGCGGCGGTGGCGACGGGTCGTACGCGTAAGGCACTGGACGGCTCTCGCTGACGCTGCCGATGTCCGGTCGCCAGCTGTGACCAAACAGAGGGTCCGCCCTTAATGAAGGTCCCCGTTACCGTCTCTGCCCGGTGTGCCGTCTCGCGTCCCCTCTACCACGGTGTGCTACTACTCCGGCTGCCATTGCTACTTTGGCCTTTCTGCCCCTGAACTCGCCCAGTTGCGTCTTACTTTAGCGCTTTCCCGTCGACGGTGTTCCTAGCCACTTCAATGATCTGTCTCTCGAGCGACAACGCTCGCTTATTCCCGCCCCGTTTTAGGCTCGTGCCATCAAGGCTTCTCGGCACTGTTCCGACTGACGCGTCCAGTTTCTCAAGTCCACCCATGATTTGGCCGCCGCCCTTCCTCACTGGTCCGTCCTACATCCACCGAATCCTCTCCCCGCGTCCCGGTGAAATGCACCCACATCAAGCCATGACTCCATGAAGCATTCCGTCGGCTTCGGCTTCTCCATAGGCAGACAACGCAAGAAACGCGATAGCCTTTAAGAAACAATCCTGCAAACCAGCCACTCTCTCAATCAAACGCTTTTCCATTATTTCCCCGATACGCCACCGCGCCCCATTCATTCCCGCTGTGATAGCGCCACAAGGCACCAGCATCAATCCGCAACTCGCCATTACCATCGGGGGCGGGTCGCACAGTGTTTCTTCCCCTCTGTCCCTCTTTCCGAAGCCTTAAACGTGTCACCCGCTAAGCTCTCTATCTACTTGCTCACTTACTACAGGCAAACGGATCTTTCTGAGCAACTTTGCCCTTCAGTAGCAGTTGATAGCATAGCAAGCCTCCTCTTTTAGATGACATCCACCCAGCTAGCTAGTTACCCCCCCCCCCCCCCGCCCACGAACTGGTAAGAACTTGTAATATTACTGCAGCAGTGTGACACCATGCGGTAGCGTTATGCGAAATTCTGATGCCCTAGGTGGTTTAGCAGCTCTTCCTATTTGCTGGGTGATTCCTTGGGATTCGCGTGGGATGTTTAAATTTCCGAGCTCCTGTTTGGCCTCCCGCAGTGCCGCCCTCCCCAGCGGGTGATATTGCTGACAACTGTGCCCTCACCGAGTTGTCTGTACCAAGCGACAATTCACCCGTCCTATCATCTTACGTAGGATACTGGCCTTTCCTCACCCGGTTACACATAATATATAGTTGTTTTGTTTGTATGCGTTCGCATGCGTATAAAATGCGTTAATAAAAATGAATGATTTTCAGAACTGTATTTTAAATAGAATGAGTTGGTTTTGTTAAAAAAAAATTGGATCCCGATTTCGTTTAACTTCTCTCTGGGCACATGCTAAACATTATTTAACCTGGTGGATCAAATGAACTTGAACATATCAGAACGAGTGGCGGGGCAGTAGGATCGTTGCCTAATAGTCCGATAGCTCGAGAACGTTGTTCGATTTGTGAAAGTGGGACCCAGGCAATGAAATCGTCTGAAAATGTAAATATCTGCTGGGGTGACACGTCGTATAGCCGTAATGAAAAGAATATAATTACACTAAAGAGAAGTATGGCAATTTGCATATCGAATAAAGTCCTTTTTTGTAGTTCAGGATAAAGAGCAAGCGTTATTTTCGTGTTTTACCTTTCATAAAGTAGCACCGTCATCTGCATAGTATATGACGTACCAGGTACATCATAAATCGATATTCAAGGTGAAGATTCGCATATACGCGCAGTGGTTGAGCTAATTGATGCCAATCGTGTACCACTAGACGATTGGTGTCGAATAAGCACCGTTATGTACAAAACAAGTATAGGCAAACAACGCTAACTAGTAAGACATTATTCAGTGACTGGAGCATTTTGGATTCTGCATATATCGTCATCAATATTGCCCGTTGTGGCTAGTTCGGTTCGGAACCGTTGCGTCTGACTGGCTCGTGTGAATGCCCCCCATGCAAGGTAACAGATAAACAGACCTCCGAACTTGTTACATTTTTCGCCAGTTCGTGTCTGGGTGTCAGGTGCTGTTTTGATTTTTCTCAGCCATTCGAACACGAGCTTCTAGTTTCATGCGTAGTTATACAACGTATACTTTAGCCTTCTTGACGTCAACAAAAGATCACTGGCTTACTGACCCTGTTTGTGCACAAGCAGGTCGACCTCCTTCAGTATGCATGTCGGTTAGAAAGCTTAACTACTTTTCCTCTTATGAACCTGCACTACGTTGGTCTTTATGTCTGCCTGTCCTCCTGCTGTTGCATGTAAGGTTATGTTGCCACCTATTTAGTGTTTCTTGAAGTTTTGTAGAGATTTCAATTATTTTGGGACCTTACATTAGCTGGCGGCCACATGTAGGTAGATAATGATAAGAAGTAAGCATTTATGATATATATGACATTTTATCTTCTTCTTTATGTGACAAGCTTCTTTGTGTTCTGTACTATGGACACTTTGTCTGTAAATGAGTCCTGGCTACCAAAAAAAGCGTTAAGCGAACGTGTAACGGTCACACAGACAAATTAAGTTTGCGTTTGACACGGCAACTCCTAACCATGGTCAGAGCGATAAGTACTCATCATTTGAGTGTAACATATAATATTCAAGGCCGAGTCAATATTCTTGCCAATTGTAGACTTTACATCCGCTTATTGAGTGTAAACCCCCTCGACTTTTAGTCTACACTAATTAACCGCTATAGAGATTCATCTAATATCGAAAAAAGGTCTTTTTGTGTTTGATATTACGAAAAATTATTTTGAAGTAAACGTGGCAAGTGTGGTCCTTGAGTCCTGTCCTAAATCTCTTGAAACCGAGATGATACATTACATGTCTAATGGAAATGCCTCAAAAATATATTCGAAACCCAGAAATCTACATAATTTCCTTAGTCGAGCATTGCTCTCCTCCTCTACTTGAGGCCTGAAGAGAATTCCCTCTAGCTCTACGCTGGATATCAGTATATGTTTATACAGGATAATTTCAGAAGATTACTACGATATTCTGCTTAACTTCTAGATAGTATCTAATTGTTTTTATCAACCAGCTAGGCTAATAATCTTTGATCTATCGGTCTAAAACGAATACGTTACTATGCGAACTTGAAATGAGCCCCATTTGATTTTTCAGTGGCCCACATAATCTCTGCTTTTCTTGCGCAAAATGTAACCTATAGCCATGCTTAAAACGAAATAAATTTATATTTTTGATGTTTTACAAAAATTACTACCGCTGTTGCCTCATGTATATAGATCCGGATACATTACCGACGAAAACAGTTCCCCCTGCTACAGTCGATTCATTTACTGAGCTCTCCGTTGGTCATCGACACTCCCACACGATATTCGCGTATGGCCATTGGAACGTACAATTCGTACAAAGTGAAGCAGCACTGGTTAAGTTCAACTACACGTTACCTTCAACTGCGAGCTTAGCTGTATATGGACGTCGTAACAGGTGAGTGTTTTTCTTCCAATCGTAATGCTATGAATGACTGACAATTTTTGCCAAAAAATATTATAGGTATCAATGCGAAGCAATAAAAACAAATGTGTGATGAATAGTTTTGTTGGCCTGCACAAATATTTTTCACAGACTTATCTATCACGCGCCTCTTATACGCACATAACTTATGATACATGTATATTAGATTTAAGAAAAAAATTTTATGATTTTTCAAATAAGCTCGCTTGCGCCTACAAGGTTTAAGGCCGTAAGCATTTAGGAAAGGTATATGCTTGAGCTGAGTCTGTGCTGGGATCAGAACCGAGTGCGCAGATGAACCCATGGAACGAGATGTGCCCTATGTGCTCCAGCATTGCAAATGCCTCGTTAAAGGCCCTGCTGTCTAAACAGACGATACATCCGTACCAGAATTAATAGGCTAATTGTAAAGAGGGACAGCCTGATCATGGCCATGCAACGTCGGTGCGTTGTTACCTATTGAACCTGTGACGTGATACCTTAATGTAATCCTCCTTAAAAGTAGTTTACCGAAGTCGACGGCGTTGGCCGTTGCGGTACACATGTAAAGTATGTTTGAATTTCTCCTGTATTTTAGGTGCGCCTTATACATAGAAGCTAAAATGACAGGTAACACCCCAGCTTCAGTCGTAACGATTATAAATTCCCTTACCCGATTCGATCTTAGTTGGCTGCTAGACTTTCGACAAAGAATGCCAGTGATCCAACTTTAGAAGCACAATGATAGTAAGGTGCTGTTTACTTGTGACTGGCGGAAGGAGGGCGCTATCATGAGGTACAGGGTCGATAATCAATCGCTGATGGAAGGACGAGGTCTAGGTGCATTTACATCGCACGATAAACATGGCATGGCTAATCTGACTGAAATCGTACAACGCTCGCAAAGAAATGCTGACCGACCGGTCGGCCGGCTGGGTCGCTGGCTATCTGACGATCGGTAAAACCGTCTATGACCGGTTACGTATGGTTATAGATGGGTCCACCCACGCCACGGTATTATGCAACACGACGATGCTAACTGTCATTAACCCATTGGCTTAGCGTTTTTCATACCGGGAGCAACCGTGGTCGATTAGACGACGGTCGCTATTGTGGTATGCCACCATAACGAACACTGAGGACTGGTCACACAAGAGAAAAATCGGCAGATTAACAATGCTAATAAGACTTCGCTGCTCAACCGTGGACTCAGACAGAATCAATGGAATGAACTTTGTGAGATCCCTTGACGCGTTCATCGATCGAAGTCCACGTAGGGTAACAACAGCGACGTCAATCGAACTCTATGGCACCGCCTTCAAGCCAAATAATAATATCATTGATGTATTCATAGAGTGTTCTTCTAGGTATACAGGCGACAGCAAATCAGTATGATTCGCAAATTTCGATCTTGGACCAACGATGTTTACTTTAAAGCATGATCTTGCTCAGGTAACTGCGTCTGCTTTTCTGTTCATTCGAGTTTTCCCTTTATTTTCAAATAAACTCAGATTAGCAGAAGCAAATATTACATTGTAAGAATTAGGCATGAACACGAAGGCGCATGGCTACCTGTCGTACTTGCAAGTGCTTTTGGTAGCCTAGACTGTGTAATGTGATAAACCCTTGGGTCACTAGAAGCCAGAAATGATGCCTTAACTTCTAATATTCTGTTAATTAACAGCGTATTATAATACCTAATTATTCCAGTCGTATCCTATATCATCATTCGACTATGCGGTCTGAGTACATACACTAGAACGCTTATTTTCCCAGCGCAAACAACTTCGTATAAAGTCTATGATTTACGAATGTAAGAGAATACGCACCTTCTTTGGCCCACTTTACGGGTGGCACTTGATATTAAATTATGACTGGGCGAAAGTTCGATTTTTACGTCGCCACTGAAAAGTTTTTTTACGCTTTTTGGCTCCGTGTAGACATTTTCTAGCTTACGATGTATAATACCTCGTCACCCGCCGACGTATACCCTTCGTGTACAACTTCGATTTACTCGTCTGCCAAAATGACCTGGTGCTACACTTGTGATAAGTTCAGTGCTTCTCTAGCTTGTGCAAGGTTAACTAGTGAAAGCACCCCAGAATTTGTTCTGAAAGTTGTTCGATATCACAATAGGGCCAAGAACAGTACAGCACTAGCCTTAGTTGTCTATTATAAATGACTTCAGGCTAAGTTACTATTATAGCTATTTTAAAACATGAACCCAGATAGCATAATTACTTTAAATTGGAGCCGCTAGCAGTTTTAAGTGTACATGCTCTTTTAGCGTAACTTGCAACTGTGTAATTGGACGATTCTCTCGGTGGACTACGCGAGCAACTCTTTCCAAGTAGAACGCATCGGGCGGCGACCAACAATCTCTACAACTTTCTGGAACCCAAGGGACGTGTTCAAAGACGTCTGAGGTCACTTAGGGGACCAGTCTAGACAGCATCCATGTTCCATTGGGGCTTAGCCGAAGCCTCAAGGTATAATTCGAAGCCCCATTACATGCTAAAAACCGAAGACAACCTTTCATGATAATTGCTTTGGGCCAAGCCAACGCAAAGCTTCTAGTGCAAGGCTAAACACACACTCGACATGCACGTATATAAACACACTTATATACATACATGGACACGTACACAAATATGCATACTCGGCACAAATCATCACCGCAATTGGAAGCATGCCGCAAGTCACATCGATCCAACTTCCTATGGACATGAGAGCTCAAAGCAGACGCTACTAAGACAGCGAGCGCATGATCCTACTACCACCGCATAAAAGACACTGCGACTTCTTACTGTGCCATACAAGAAGATTAGTAGCTAACGAAAAATTGTGTCGTTCAACACGGCACGACGTTGGCGCCACGAGAGACAGAGGTTGCCGACAGAGCACGACTAAAGGCAGAGAAAAACCTATGGCTTATGCGTATACAGCCTGAGGCAGTGTTCATCTTTTCTCCACGAAAGGCCTACGAAAATCAGTAGATGAAACTTTCAGCGAAGGATGAACATTGGCAAATCCAAAAGGGAAATGTTACGCTTGTAATCCGTAAACGGCTGTACACAGACATGCAAATTCGATGTAGTAATGCGCTAGATAATAGCACCATATCGCTTTACAAATGTGTAGTGAAGTGGAAATCGGTATTAATCGGCATCTTGTCGGCTAGTGAAAAGAGCCGCGTTACGACGAGATCGACCTTGATAGCAAAAACGAGGCCATTCCCAATCTCTTCAAGAATGTGTCCTAATGTCGCAATCTAAGGCCGTATTGGTGGAGGGAAGGACGGCAAAGGGATCGATGTGTTATATTTAAAATTCCTGCAATCGCATCACGTTTTTCGCAGCATCCTCTGGTAATTCATTGTGATTAAGCTGTGGACGCAGCAGGTTAGATCCGACAGTTGTGACGATTTTGATCAGTAGCCTAGGTGCAGCGCTGGTGGTGCCTTATGGCGTACAATGGTAGGATTTTTTCTCCGCTTTAACAGACTTCTGAGATCGCCGCAGTAGCGGTCACTCATCGTACGCTACTCTCCTAGCAGTAAACCTTACATTTTCCGCGCGTAATTTATAGTAATTTCTATTGAGCACGTGAAGCATAGACAGGGAAATCGACAAGACAACCTACAAAGGCTTACTGGAGCACAGTAATAAATTATCTGATATGCCGGAAAGAATATATTTGTGAAGATACACGCAAAGAAACCCTGCGCGCGCTACTTACCAGCAAAAGAAAAAAGTCTATCGATGATTTATTTAGTAGGGCGTTTGACATTGTTTCGAAACGTCGCAATTAAAGGCGATAACGGCATCTTTAAAATAAATCCTCTCTAGTAATGGTGGAAATAAGTAAGTAAAAAAAGAAGTAATGGAAAGAAATAGAGCAAGCAGGTGAATGTATTATTCGTTTAAGTCGTCACATACGAGAAGCCCTACTTGATAGAGCCTGATATGGTCCTTAAGTAGAAGAAGAAGAACAACCGCATTTAACACGATGTAAATTATACATGGAGCGAAGCTATATTATTACGTGCATTGTATATACATATACAATGTACGTAACTGGCGTATGTATATATATCTGTCAGCTGTTTTATTCTTTATCGTATTGTTTGTCATGCATATATATTGTAGAAAAATGTACCTGAATAGATTAAGGAGATAGCAGGTGTTCTGGATGTAGTCCACGACTGCAACAAGCTCCTTCAACGAGAAGGCTGATCTCTAGTAGGGGCTGCGTACCGCAATGTCCCGATTTGCTAAGCACGTGTTCGAAGCTGTCGCGACTCCGAGGCGAATATTGCCCGCTCCATTGAAGTTCGTTTTAAGCACTTCACTTGAGAGTGTCCTACTTACTCTGCTGAATCACAACATCCACAAGGTAATAAAAAACTTCCCGAGTTGCTCTTGTGCCGTACTGACCGCGACTGGCCAGCCCCCGCCGTCTGCAACTGTCGTACCGCGTTGGATTCAGTTCATTTCTTTGTACACGACGGTAAAATTAACGCAGCGTCAGCTGCAGTCGTCATGCACCTGAGCTACACAGAAGGCGAGGTTACAACCTTATGGTAACCTGCACAGTTCGGCCAACTAGTTCGCCTCCTGAAAGGATGTTGTTTTTCTGCTTTATCATGAAAACCGAATCCTGAGACTGGCTTTCAGATAAACATTAATTGCAAGCACATTTATTAAATAGTATACAAAACAACCTATACACGACTGGCTTGTAGGTCAATTGACTATATAATTTAAATTTTGTTAAACGTAATTAAACTTAGGACCATATCAGGCTCTATCGCGTAGGGTTTTGCGTTTCGCAGGTTACGCCTTAAACGAATAATATATTAACATGCTTGCTCTATTTCTTCGTAGTTTGGTGTACAATGTAGCAGTGCGCGTTTTGCTACTGTTAGAGGGGATTTCCTTTAAAGACACCCTTTATCGCCTTTAATTGCAGCACATTACTCTTTTATAAAAAAAAAGTTCCGAACGCTTCGAAACAATACCAAATGCTCTACTAAATGAATGATCGATATATATTTGTTTTTCTGTTGCTGGCAGGTAGCACGTGCAGGATTTCTTCGCGTTTGTTTTGACGATACGCATTATTAGTTCATCTGTTTCCCATTCACTACTATGCTACAGTGAGCTCTTATCGTCTATCTCCAGTGTTTTTAACGGAAGTAGTTTAGCGCGCAATATTTGAAATCCTCTCCTGACAGGGCAGTAGGCCGTTATTACTGCAACTGCAACAGCCTGTGTCCGATATGAAGCATGTTAGTGAGCGTAACAAAAATTAGTCGAGCACAAAGAACGAGAGCGATCAGGAACTATAGGAATCGTAGGCTGATTCTGACCATCGTAAGATCAGTTTAGAAAGAAATCTCCCGCTCCGTGATACGTTAGCATTAATGTCGATTTTTCTGCTTTATTTACTTATAGCCCTTCTTCTTTTAATTTTCGTTTACTCATACTCGACGAACACCGCCTAGTCTTAAATATGTTGATGCAGCGCCTACGGTCACATTTTCATTTCGAATTGGTTTAATAGATCGTAGTGTGACATATTTTCGGCTTTGTGGAATCATCGTCTAATAGACTTTGCAACGTTTACATAGGATTGCACCCAAAATCAACCCAAGCTCTCAAATTATTCAATTAGAGGCTTACTAGGGTGGAGCGAAGTTTTGGCGGGTACAGCTTACTTCTGGCTGGTCCTAGCATCGCCATCTACCATCTAATATGTGCTTTTATTTTTCCGTAACTTTCAGCGTTCCGACGCATACCCGATACGACTTCTCTGAGATACTCAACGCCCGATCATCGGGCATTCGTAGCCGCAAGGCCGCTACGTCGCAGGAAATGGTTTCTATCGAATTTATTCATTTTCTCGATCGCGGCCACTGGTATTTGTCGATCTATAACGATGGTGATCAGCAAGAAGAGGTGTCCTTTGTGTCACGAGTAGCCGGTGGGTGCCCACTTCCGCTGAATTAATGAAAGTCGATCAGTAGATAGATACAATTTCTTTCCTTAGAATAACTAGAGCCTGAAGTGTGAATCAGACCGAGAGAACAATCACATCGTTATAAAAAATCAAAGTTAACAACAGGGTGATATGCGCTCACCTCGTTTTGTTTGTCGAAATACGTGTAGATTACATGCTTTAGATGCATGCTTTACATGCATGTGTAGATTAAATACCATAAAGGTGTAGATACAAGTATATTAAAATAGTCACATAGTCAAGAATTATCGCTGGCTATTACCCTTTGCAGATGTATCTTCGCTTCCTTGTCCGTATGACTGTCACGGCCATGGAACTTGTAATATGGGCAAATGTGACTGTGATCCTGATTTTACTGGCGAAGCGTGCGCCTATCGTAAGTTGAATCCTCAAATTGCTTTCCGCGCATATATTTTCGCACGAAATAGTAGGGTATGTAGCAGTCGTGCAATAGGGTACGGTGCCTTAATTGAGACTTTTGCTGATATTTTGGTTTCTAAGACTGGATCCAAATAAAACAAAAAAAAAAAAACGAAATTTCGACATGTGCTAGAGGTGTTCCTCATTTCTGACGATCACGTTTATTCGATATAACGATTATATACTACGACTACAACTTTGAGCGAACCGCAGGCTCGTTTTAAATGTCCTGTTTGCCATTCTGTTAATAACTTGTTGATAGCTTGAATGAGTGAGTGGATGATGTCATGTTTAGACCTATTCAACTGTCGCCCAATAGTAATAATAAGCCCCAGTAATCGAACGGGTTTAAATCTAAGCTATTCTGCAGCCATACGTGCTTACCCCAGAACATGCTTGTATTCTCAAGGAGACAATTCTGCACTGATTGGCTTGTGTGAGCTAAGATGTATGGCCTTCCTTCAAGCACGCCAGCTATCCGCGGTTGCATCAGAGTTTACAGAACACGCAGGCACTTCTTCAGTAATGCGTTTGCTTTTTTGGATCAAGTCTAATAGCACCTTGCCTTCTCATCTAAACACGCACTCAACACATGAACTTTGGCCGAAGATCTGCTTCTACCCACAAGAGACACATCTTCTAAATAGCGAGCCAACCACTATCTTTGGGGTTAATTTTTACTTCGAGAATAAGGAATATATTGTTAGTGAAAAATCAAATGCGACCTGCTACTTTCTTCTCGAAAGATTTGAGTAGAAAAATAACGCTAATCAAATCCCATGATTTTATTGATCTCAAAGAGCATTTATCTGGCTTTTATGAGGTGCATTTGAGGTCTTCGTGAACACTCCGTGACATCGTACACTCACTCATTCACATCAACTATCCTCAATGACGCCCTCACCGAAGTGGGAGGCGCTCTTGGACAACAGCCATTAATTTTTTTGTTCTGTCGTAGACTTCACATTGTACTACGTTGCGTTGCCCCGTGGCGCGCAGCGCATACTTCTTTTGCAGCATCCACATAATCATTTACGGCATGGTACACTATCAACGTGCAATGACCCAAGAGGCTTTTAATCCCCATAAGTGTTCGTCCACTGCCTAGAGTTTTGGTAATAGCTGATATTTACATCAAGTCCGGAAACAATGCAATGTTGTTCATCTTAACTAGTTTATTGTTTTTAATTTATTTGTTGACACGTATTAGATGGAAGAACTGGCCTTGGTCTAATGTCAGGAGTAGAGAAGGACGCATGCCTGTAACGACAAACAGCCTATCAACGTATTTCTCAATTTAGGTGCCGCACTCTCTGTATATGCAAATATACTGAAAATACCGAAGAACTAACGAGTGGTGCTACTTCGTTGCGCTATGTTACGCGATTTGTCAAGGATATTCGTTTGATGGATTGTTTTTATTTTCACTTTTGGTTAGAACTCTGCCCAGTGTTGTGCAATGGTCGCGGCAGCTACTCTGGAGGTCGATGCGTATGCCAACCAGGTTGGAAGGGCACTGAGTGTCAACTACGAGACGAAGAGTGCGAGCCAGCAGATTGTTCAGGACATGGAGAGTGCATTGATGGTGCCTGCAAATGTTTCCAAGGATACAAAGGTTCTGCTTGCGATCAGGTACGAGCAGTCATTCGATGTTCCAACAAAAAATGTATGATAGATAAGGAGGCCATTTTGGCATCTTTATATATAAATGAATGGGATCACTTTATAGATGGACGTAGACTTTGAATTGACGTTATGTTTAGCTGCGTGATCTGTGCCGGTGTGTGAACTATGAAATAAATATTTATGCTACGTGTCCATCTTTGCGACAAACAGGTGGACTGTATTGATCCCGACTGTTCGGGTCACGGGATCTGTCTATCTGGCCAATGTATCTGCAAAAAAGGCTGGAAAAGCGTCGACTGCTCTCAACCGGATGAGGAAGCTCTTCGCTGTCTACCCGATTGTTCAGGACATGGCCGATTCGATGTCGAGTTACAGCGTTGTGTCTGCGAGGCGCCTTGGAGTGGACCTGACTGTGCAGCAGAGCAATGTGCATTGGACTGTGGTGAAAGGGGCCGATGCCGCGGGGGTCGATGCGAATGCCTAGAAGGCTGGGCAGGACCAAAGTGTGGTCAGAGACTCTGCGATCCCCGATGTTCCCAACCACACGGTCAGTGCCGAAACGGAACTTGCGTCTGTGCTATCGGATGGAACGGAAAGCATTGCACCATGGGTTAGTAACCGAATAATTTAACTTCAATACATTAACTTGTATGCAATCCTAAGTTAAGCTGATGTCTCTTGCCGTTTAAAGTAACCCACCCAAAATAGCGAGTACCGCGTTCAGTGTACAAGCTTGCCCATCCTCGGCTAGCATGAAACAAGCATAATTAGTTCAGCGCAAATAACATTCGGCATACTGTGATCTTTGTTTTAGAGGGTTGTCCTGTAGGATGCAACCGTCATGGCGAGTGTGTGAGTGTAGGCGGTGAATGGACCTGTCGCTGCCATGATCCTTGGTCTGGATCCAGTTGCAGCCAAGCCTCCGAGAGGAAGTGTGGAGACCGAGTGGATAATGATGGAGGTACGTAATATATGCCGCGTTACATTCGAATAAGCCGACGAATTGACTAATTACAGCGATTGTTGCCTGACTGCCCATTGCTGATCGTTGGTCTCCTTTCGTTTAGATGGTTTGGTGGACTGCGCTGATTCCGAATGCTGCTCGGCGCCTGAGTGTGCGTCGAATCCACTTTGCTTCCAATCAGCCGACCCCCGCGACGTGCTGTTGAGGAAGCAGCCGCCGGCGGTGACCGCAAGCTTCTTCCAACGGACGCAGTTTCTCATCGAGGACGACTCGGTGCAAAGCTACGCAGTCAAAGGAGCTTTCAACCACAGGTATGATCTTTACTGTTAAATGCATGATTGTGATCTACCGAAAGTATATTGGTCAGACTAGACCATAAAACCTGGCCAGCTATCGGACTCGATTCCGTACGACGCAGCAGAACTTTTAAATTATCCACATGTGAGATGGTAATTTAATCCAGAAGCACTTGTTGGAAATGACGTAATATTTTTTTTATTAGTCGGCTAGATTCTAAGAGTTCTTTCTGGTTGAGTTCCTTTCGGGTCGTATTCACTTTGTTGCCAGCAGCGCCATAAAAACAGCACAAATCTCACATTACAGCTTCTAGACACTGTGGCACAAACCTGACGGCAAATGACTGTTTCATTAAAATAAAAGGTATATTCAAATAATATCCTGAGGTACATGTGTGTGAAGAAGATCATTCAGATCCTCACCTGTCGCCATATGCCGAGCCAGCCAGCCAACCACTAGATACGGTGATGATGCGTGATCTTCAGACACCTAATTTCATTCCAAAGAAGCAACGAAAAAAAAGATGTGCAAGAGGTGCTGACCTGAAATGTATCATGATGCAACTGCTCCTGCAGGATGCTGCTTCTGAATGATTCATAGAAATACTTACGCTTCTTTATTCTCGCTTTCGTTTGAACCGTTATCATTTCGACAGATACCAGCTAGCTTGCCAAACGAATCTATTCTGTCTTGAGCAATGTACCTGTAGTGTGCTGCCTGTCCTAGGCTGGCTAGTTGTTTTTGGGTGCGTCCTAGTGCACAGATCCGTCGGCAAGGTGGTGACGAGGCCCTGCCCTTTTCCTCCTGTACTAAAAATGGCACAATAGCCTTTTTTAAATATCGGACCAACCTAAAGCTAACGACGCTAACATTATATTTACATATCTTTATCGCATTACACGCAGCACGCTTTGGAAGCATTTCAACTCGAGGTACGTCGCCTTGTGTGGACTGGGGGAGTTCGATGTTAATCTCAGGGGGTCGCAAAATTGTAGTACATGTCGCTTGATTTGGGTACGGAATAATTTATAGGGTGATACCATCGAAGTTCCTCTCTTACGTCATAGCCTGATTAGTAAATCATACGCAGACCGGGAGTCTGGTTCCAGGGAGGTAGCAGGTGAATAGCCGTAAGGCGCTGAAAGGTTTTTTCGTAGGCCATCTCTAAGCACCTTTATCCACACCCTGTTTCTATCGACCCTATTCTTCCCCAACCCATTTGCACCTTCTCTCTTTCGCTCTTCCTTTACTTTTTTCCCCTTTACTAACTCTCACTTTAAGTAGGGCTAATTTATAATCATGTCTATATAGACTTATCCGTAGCGGAGCCTTAATATGAACACGCATTCGTTCAAAAACATCGAATCAGATTTTTCTAGAAAACATTATAATCTAGAAAGAAAAGGAGAAAAAAGTATTTCTAAATCGAATTGCCCGTGTCATCAAAATGAAATCAAGAATACCTTCATTTTCTAGGACCAAAGTGACAGAAACTTAACTAATTAAAGATATATTAGGATCAGGCCAAACTCTGCGAGTTATTTCATCCTTTTTGATGAGTTTCCGGTCGATTTCTAGTTAACTAACATGTCTCTTTTATCGATTGATTATGTAGCCGCGCATCGGTTCTACGAGGACAGGTGGTATCTTCTTCACATGCGCCATTAACGGGGGTAAGAGTCGGAGTAGCTTCTGACGTTACCGCTGGATTTACAGTTTCAAGAAGTGACGGTTGGTTTGACCTCATGGTAAATGGAGGAGGAGCTGTGACCTTACAGTTCCGCAGGGACCCGTTCAAGGTAAGCAGTAGCATCCGCGGCAGCTATTTCGTTGACTCTCGTCTTTATGGAAAGCCCAAGTAGATTATTAACATCAAATACGATAAAACGTATCGACGTATAACTGTCACGGTGGCAAATCTAAACGAAGTATTATTGCATTTTTTGAGTCGAGTATTATTATTATTTAAAAAACATTAGCCCGCGTCATAAGAGTAACTTCTTTAGCAGTATGTATTAAGCACAAATGTGATGCCTTTGTGAACAAAATCGATACGTGAGTACATACGTTATGCGCGTCTCTGACTTGATCAATTTCTTTCCAGATCCATGAGCGGACACTTATGGTTCCTGTGAATGACATTTTGGTTCTGGGTGAGGTAGTCATGACACCCGGTGAACTAAAGGCTGTTGATGGGCCCAAGAGTAACGCCATCTGTACTGAACACGATTTCGAAGCAATGACACCAGTAATTATGGCAACATGGCGGCATGGCTTCCAAGGCGGCTGTAGTAATCGTTCAGCCATACTTGCTGAATCGCAGGTTGTACAAGAATCCCTGAATATACCTGGCACTGATCTGCACCTTGTTTACCATTCAAGTCGTGCTGCGGGATATTTTTCCACCATCCAGCTTAAGCTAACACCTGACACGATACCTGCGAGCCTTCGATTGATCCATTTGAAAATCTATATCGAAGGCGTGATGTTCGAACGGGTGTTCGAAGCTGACCCTGCCATCCAGTTTACGTATGCGTGGAATCGAAGAAATACGTACAGACAAAAGGTCTACGGAATCGCTTTGGCACACGGTAAAGTTCTATAATATTCTTAATAGTACTCTATTATCGTCATTGGGCAATACAGATAATATAACAACGTAATGCTTATCAGAAGCGTTGTTTTATATAGGAAATAAGTTCAGCTAGGTTACAATGATACGTTTACAAATTTGTCTCACTCAGACAATTGCTTCTGTAAACCAAGAGACTCAGTAGAGTTGCATTTCTGTAGATGACTGCAAATTAACAATGAAATAACACTTGTCTGAACAATGTCTCACTGATCTTTTAGTGCATGTCGGATACGAATACTCAACATGTTCAGACATCATCTGGGAAATCCAAACAACCCCGGTAAGCGGGCACGACATGTCCATCTCGGAAATTGGTGGTTGGAATCTTGGAATCCACCATCGCTACAACTTTCATGAGGGAATCCTTCAGAAGGGTGACGGTGCTAACGTCTACCTTAAGAACAAGGTACATATGCATTTTTTTTCTATCTTTAGCTGATTACGTGAACAACTGCACACCTAAACGAACCGATACCAGCAACAGGTTCATTCGATTGGACAACTCTAACGAAGGCCATAATTCACCCATTCATCCACCGAATGTCGGTGGCATTTTTGAACTGACGCCTATGTTCATACAGACACCGGATTTGTTCCTTTTTTACAGCCGAAAGTCTTGTCAACCATAATGGGCAGTGGTGAAGAAGGCCAACAACGTAATCTTCATTGTCCGGTTACTCAATGTAATGGCTTGCCACGTGACCAACGCCTTATGGCACCGGTCGCCCTAGCAAGCTCACCTGATGGTTCAATATTTGTCGGTGACTTCAATCTCATTCGGCGCATTTCACCAGATGGTGGACAAGTAGTCACTGTTGTCGAGCTGCCACCCTCTCAAATTGCCTATTCTTACCATCTGGCTGTCGGACCGGCCACGGGTCATCTCTATATCTCCGATCCCGAAAGACACCAGGTAATAGCGACTTTGAACAACGCAGAACTCGCACAGCTGTTCACATTGAACATAGGTATATTATCGATAAATAATAATGTTATTCAATTATTGACCATTTAAATTTTAATGAGTGGGTTTCTAAAATTAACGATGATAACCATACACAAACTGAACGACATAGAATTACGAACCGTTTGGGACCACTGTAGCTTATCGAATTGATTGCCTTCTGCCAGGTGCTGCGTGTAGTTCGTTTGGAAGCTGTAGAGGATCCCAGAAACAACCTTGAAGCTGTAGTCGGCTCAGGAGCTAAGTGTTTGCCAGGAGATAAGTTGTTCTGTGGAGATGGCAGACCTGCTCGAGAAGCTAAACTATCGTATCCCAAAGGCATCGTTGTGTCTATGTATAAAGAAGTATGTTACTGTTTTTAAAATGTACTATTACTACTGGTTTGTCTCTTATTAATTTTTTTTATGTAGCTTCATTTATATCAGAAACTGCGTACACTATATACCCAGCCTCTTTCTCCTTGACACCAAAGCCTCTCACAATGATGTCGTTTCTGTACTCTAATAGATATACATCGCTGATGGAACTAATGTTCGGATGGTCGATCGTGCGGGTATCATGAATACCCTTGTTGGTGATCATCATCATAAAGCTCACTGGAAGCCACTATCGTGCGCTGGGACTCATTTGTTGGGGCAGACAAATCTTAAATGGCCCTCAGAACTAGCTATCAATCCTGTGGACAACTCGTTACACATTCTCGATGACCACATCGTCCTGCGACTGACGCCCGACCGCCGTCTTCGCGTCATCGCTGGAAAGCCGGTCCACTGTGCCAGTACTCAGACAAACGGCAAAGGGGACTTTGCCACAGAAGCGCTATTAGAATCCCCAATGGCTATCACCTTCTCTCCGCAGGGTGATCTTTATATAGCTGAAAGCGATTCACAAACAGTGAACCGAGTACGGGTGGTAAGTCCAGATGGAAAGCTGACTCACGCTGTGGGTGTAGTTGAAGCTAAATGTTCGTGTCTTGACATCAACTGTAAGTGTTTCGACCCCAACGAAGTGCTAGCAACCGCAGCTAAATTCGACTCAATTTCTGCCTTGACAGTTACACCAGACGGTACACTGCATATCGCTGATAAAGGCAACCATATGATCCGATCGATTGTCAATCAGCTGCCCTCGCCGTCCGGTCCTCAACATGCGATTGATATCTATTCGCCGGAAACCCAGGAAGTGTATACATTTAACCGGCATGGTCAACACACTTCTACTCGGAACATTGTTACAGGCCAAACCAAGTACACGTTTACTTACAATGTTAATACAGCTAACGGAAAACTGAGCTCGGTCACCGACGCTTCGGGCAATAAAGTTTTCATCCTGCGTGACACCAGCCACCAGGCAAAATCGATTGAGAACAGCCAAGGGGGCAAATGCGTCTTGGATATTGGCTCGCGGCATTCGATGCTGCTGTCGTTCGCCACCGCAGACGGACATAAGACCTCGTTCGAGTACCACGGCTCTAACACAGCGCTTCTAAAGTCAAAATCAGACAGCTCTGGCCGCTCGGTCCTGTACTCATACGATCATTACGGCCGACTGACTGACGCCATTGCCCCTAGCGGAGAACATATTCGCTTGTCGTACAGTCTTAGCATCCGCGGAGCCTCCGTTATGGTTACACGAAACGGACGCGAAACCTCTGAGCTTCTAATTCAAGGAGCCCACGGCGTCGTAAGCCAGAAGGGCTCGGTTGAGGAAAAAGTAAGAATGGGGGCAGATAACGGACTTGTTCTAGGGCAGGATAACGGCCTAATCAAAGACATCGAAACTCAAGCGTTCCCGCTTCTTACGGATATGAACTCTGTGTACTCCGAGATTTTCCCTGTTCCAACGAAACTGAGGCTTGGACTTAGCGAAGATATAACTCAACGGCTTGAATGGCGGTACTACGCGAAGCCTGAAAGTGGCGTAGGCCGCAAAAGGACTGGCATCGATCAGGTGGGTCGACGTGCGAAGGTTAACGGAGAAAACCTGTTCGCAATCGAATTCGATCGGCAACTTAATACCGAATCGGTCATCGACAAGAATTCTATGGCTTTACTGACGGTCAAATACAACCACAAGGGACAGCCAGAATCGTGGACGCCGAGGGCCAATATCACTGGAGTAACGCTTGAATACGACCGCTTTGGCCGTGTGACAAAATGGGAGCGTGGTGATCTCATTGAAAGCTATTCGTTTGATTTAGCCGGCAGATTAACTGACGTGCGTTACGCAGACCATTCAGGCGTCATCTACAAGTACGCCGAAAGTCCCGCTACTGTGGTAAGTAAAGTATATATAGGCCACGATTCAGCGGTCGTTGTATGCAACTAACCATGTGTTAGGGATTAGGAAGAAGGCTGATTATCACTGAATTTGAAATGAGTCATAAGCCTAATTTTTCAACATGCTATGAACCGACCTCTGCTTTGCCTTATAATATTGCAGCCGAATGAAATCATCCTACCCAGCGGAAGCCGCTATCAGCTGATGTATAATGGACACTCGAGCTTACAGAGCGTCATAACTCCAAACGGTCATCGACACGAAATCGCCTCGCAGACATCGCTCGGCTTCTACAAAGTACTCATCATTATCTTGTGTTTCGCTTTTAGTTGTTGATAAATCTCAAAACAGTTTCCTTCCTTCGAGATATCCTAATCGTTAGCGCTATTACAGTGAAGATCGTTGTTTAGCGAATACATGAAAATTATAGAAGGGCATAATTGAATTTTTTTGGAAAAGCCGCAAAGTTATTCATTGTAATCACTATTATCTTGTTATAGCTGTTGTACCTACCTCCGGGCGCGAACCATCCGTACGTAGTGCACTACGACGAGCGCGGCTTGGTGATAGCCAAGTATTATCCACACTCGTTGGGGCGTGTCTCGTACGCGTATAATGACGAAGGCCGATTGGCCACCGTACTATGCGGGCAGGAGAGTACCAACTTCTACTATGGAAACAATAGCGCACTCGTGAAGTCTATTACTAAAAACGTTCCATTGCTGGATACGCGAGTTGACTATAGGCATCACGGGAGCCTGCTTAAGGAAGAACGATTCCGGTTAGTGATGGATTTTATTAGTAGTAGGAAACTCAAGGGGTTTGCATAAAATGTAAAAACTACTTTTTTTCTTGATTTCTTTGTATTAAATATCGCTACTTGACAATGGGTCCTTGTTTAGATCAAAGCATGGCCTAAAACATGTTATTTTCTTTGGTAACAGGTACAATTCGAAGAGCCAGCTGGACAGCGTAAAACTTAAGTATATTTATGATGGAGGGAGGCTGTCGTCGGCAGACGTGGAGATTGGAGGTAAAAGTACCTTTCAAGCTCGATATCGATATAACGTTGTCACAGGTCAATTGGAACAGACTCACCAGTTTACTATTAATCGGCCTAAGCAGAACTCTGTGTTTATTCAAGACGAACAGCGGCAATTTAGTACAACTGTCCAGTTCGATTCGTTTGGTCGAATTGAAGCTCTAGCCCTGTCACTATGGAACAAGGAACTCTTTGCCTACGTACCTAGGTACAACAACCGTAACCAAATTGTGGCCATTACCTCAAAGGTTGGCAAAGACGCCACCCCCGTCGAAACAAGGTTTAATTACACACTCGACGGCTTCTTACAACTGGTAGAACCGGTGTCTTCCCCTGCTCAGTCTTGGCGTTATGCGTACGATATCAACGGAAACCTTGAGATGATTCAAGAAGGCCCAAAACAAACCCACTTAAAATACGACGCCGGCGATCGTGTTGTTGGTTATGGAGCTACTGAGAGCATGTACAAAGCTGATGCCAGGGGTTTCATTACAAGACGCGGTGAAGAATACTTCGAGTATAATGCCGAAGGTCAAATGGTGCACGCATGGCAGAACCGTGCCTATGATATACACATGTTCTACGATCAGCGTGATCGTCTCGTCGCCACCAAGGATCACCGTGGCGGAATTACGCAGTATGTGTACGCCGATCCATTGCATCCAGAACGTATGACACACGTACATCATCCGAAGACTGGTGCCAGTATTTCCTTTGTTTATGATAATCGAGGCCACTTGATGCATATCCTTAAAAAGGACAATAGCAAATTCTATGTGGCTTGCGACCACCGCGGTACCCCAATGGCCGTCTTCACTCAAGACGGATCTGTGATTAAGGAGATCAGACGCGCACCTTTCGGGCAGGTGACTTACGATAGTAACCCTGACTTCTTACTCCCCGTCGACTTCCTCGGTGGAATTCGCGAACCTGTTACCCACTTGGTGTTCTATGGGTCCCGGCCTTACGATCCGACATCCGCGCAGTGGCTGACGCCTACGTGGGAACGAGTGTTCAGTTTAATCGCACATCCACCATTGGTCCATCTTTATCGCTTTAGGAATAACGATCCTATCAACGCCGATCAAATACCGGATAAAATGACCAGTAAGTTCATACCTATAAATCGCAGCTATCGTAAAATAGTATGTACTCAAGGTGATGGAATAAGATGAGAAGTGGGCAGGTGATTTTTCGTTCAGTCATCATAATAAATTATTTAGGTTGACATCATAATACCTGCACCTACTTGAAATATTTTTCTTACTTCCATCAATTTATCGAAATAGGTTTTGTCTTACCTAAAAATGTTCGAATAGTAGTATAACAGAGGCTGCCTGTACTTTAACTTTTTTTTTTTACAATTTTAGCACTGGACTCATGGCTTGTAGCTCTCGGGTACGATCTATCGAAGGTGATTGTTCAGCCCCCACAAATCATGACGAGCCCCGTAGTAGGACAAGCTTATCTCGTTCCCCTTACCGCGCCGACGCTACCTATTGTCTCAGGTTTAAATTGCCTCGCCAGTGAAATCGCCGCCGATTTCAGCAGACCTTCCGCCGTGGTACCAAGTGTAGTTAAATCAAGTCAAGGTTTATTTGAACGAGCAATCAATTCCCGTATAGCGAGCTTACCAGGCGTATTCGGCAATGGAATCTTACTCAATCGACAGCCATCAGGCACCGTTAAGGTGCACGTCCTGGCCGAGGCCACACCAATTTTGCGTGATGTCATCAGCTCCGTTTTCAACAACACTCTCATGCTCGACGTGCATTTCAATCAGCACGGCATCGACTTATTCTACTTTTCGCAGCCACAGCTTTCGAAAGCGGATCGTGATTGGGAGCAGTTGGGCAGATTAGGATCAACCCTTTTCAATATCACTCGTCATCCTGTAGTCGACAGCGAGAGTGGCCGAAGACAACAGATCGATATCCGAGTGCACAGCGCTAATGTAGCTCTCAACATTAAGTACGGAGCGACCGAAGCGGAGGAAAAACAGCGTGTCATCAATCACTTCAGAAGGTAAATAGCTGGAGATTAGTTTATTTATACCATTCTACCTTATTTTGAAAATGTTGGCTAAAAATCCGGTCAAGGCACGTTCCATCAATCAATGCTACCACTACAATCGGTCTAAACCCTTGCTAACCCTTAAGTTACACCTATATATATTTAAGGCAGAAACCCTGAATGCAATCTGGACGCGGGGAAAAGATGAAATAGCCACTTCTAATATTGAGCCACTTATATCGCTTTATATATAACATTAACAGTAATAGTTAAATATACAACATACTAAAAAAACGTATGAGGTTTCCGACAGGAAGGCTGCTTTGCCTAAGTTACGATTGCTTGCATTTTGCAGAAAAGCCGTTCAGGAGGCGTGGGAGTTAGAAGCGGCACGAGTAGCGATTGGCCACAAGGGTAGCACTCACGATTGGTCGCGGGCCGAGCGCGACGAGCTAATGGCCAATAAAAAGGTTGAACGATATTATCCAAACGATATTCACGGCATCGATGCGTATCCGGGTCTAGCCGACGATCCCACCAATATCGCCTTCCGCAAAGAAAGCGCGCGCAAGAGGCGAGCAAAGTTCCGTCGAAGGAAGGAACAGAAAGACAGGGAGCAGAAAAACAACAATAAGGAGTCCAGTAAAGACGGAAAGAACAAGGTTAACAAAGACAATAATAATGATAGTAACAGTAATAAGGACATCAAAGAGCACAAGTAGAGAAAATAGCTATGGACTAGGTGTCGACCAGCATCAAGCTAGCCTCAAAGCAGCACTCTTTGAAATACGTAGTGTACGTCTGAACTAAGGCCTTTAACTCTGTTAACAGATACGATTAGTTTTGATTTTCAATCTTATAATGAGTCCGGCTCACACTACCGCCGAGTAACTGAGCTCTGCTGGTACGCCGAATAGCTTTACCGGTGATGTCGTTGTTACTACGTAGACTTTGAAATGGATCAGTATTCAAACAGTAAAATAACTATAAAATCAGGGATATGCATAAGAACAATCCTTCTTGCCTCGACTCTCTGTGCAAAAAAAGAAACATGGAATGAGCTAAGCTTCCAGCCAGTGCTCCACTCGAATAGTTCCAGTGGCGATGTAGACGAAATGGCAGAGAGCTAGAATGAGACGTCACGTTCTGAAGTGTCAAGAGTATTTTTTAATTTAAAAGTCCTGATGACAACAATGAAAATAACAAATACAATACTGTGTATATTCTAGTCCATGTACATATGCTTTGACAAAAAAAAACTGAGTGAACGGCTCAGTCCGGAAGTCCTGCCCGAAAGTAAAAAAAAAAAATATGAAAATCGACAAAAATTAGTAATTGAAAGATATACATAATACTGATGATGAATAATTGTGCTATACGTGAACGAGTGACAGACATAACAGACAATAATTGAAGAGAATTTCCTACGAAATCGAATAAATTAATGGTGCGGTTAGGCACTCGCGAGTTCGTTCTCCAGGGTTTGTTGATTGCAGCACCCCCCAGACTAAGCAGGGGGCTTAATCAGTCCCGATGACTGGAAGGAAGCAAAGTAGAAAGAGTGGATAATGCTGATAACTAGATAATGTACAGTGATTGAGACATTTGCCGTATCGTATACGGGCTCTGTATTATAAACGAAAGAGATACATAAGTTTACATAAAGAGGAGACGGAGAAAAGGAACACAGGTGGTACGTGCATGGGCCACAGTGTGATTACATCAAAATCAAGGGCAAACATGTCAAGCGGCAGGCATCATCTCAGCGAAGTACATGTTCAAGGAAACAGCAAATTATGAATTGTTTTGCAACTATGAAAATTCCACTTGGTTGTTCTCGGCCACGAAGCGGAGCGACCACCTTGTAGGCCCTTAAGTGAACCTAAAACGTCAAGATCTAATTTAATTTTAGCTAATAGATGCAGGACAGTGCTGAGAGATGCAGCCTTGACCAGGTATATAAACAGACACAAAGACAAACGTAGATTCACTCATAGAAACATGGACGACGTTAACGAATAGTTACGGCGATATCGTAGGAACTCATCTTCTTAGAGTTGTGTGCGGGGGCAGTATCTGCGACACACAACTAAGCAAAAAAAACATTTCAACTGAATGAACCGATGAGCAAGGCGCCATGTGATGTTTAACTGTAAAAAACTTCAACAGTAGATATAATAGTGTGAAATATGCACGAAGTTGAAATACGAAGGTCCAGTGTCATAAAGGGTGTGGATAATGGAACAATTCATCAGTTCAATGTTCACCATCATTACTACTTCTGTGAACTAGAAAAAAAGATCAATGATATATACGGGCGGGAAACATCTTGGACTCGTCGACACCGCCAAATATCAATTTTCCAAATCACACATCCAAATACATCGGTATGGAGCTGTGCGTGCCGTTGATTTGTGAAAGCTCTCAATATTCAACGCCACCTAATTACCCCCCAGTGTGCTTTTTTTTTTTTTTCGGTTTTTTGCCTTGCGATAGTATTTTTTGTATATTCTTCCGCTGTCTGCTTAACCTAGAAGAGTTGGAGGCGTAGTTACCTACTAACAGCCAACGCTCACACAGACACAGAGAAAAAACAACCCCAGATTAACAAATTACGATCAATCGGTAGGACTTTAAGTGAGCTGAACGATTCACATTTTAAAACTACGATTTTAATTATCATAAATGCGGCTTATTCGGTTCCCTTCGCTAACCCTGTTCTGTATATTCCTACGATTTTATTTTATAAAAGCAGCACATTGGCATACAAACCACATGGACGCCATATGTTCGTCTGCAAAGCGAGTTCATCTATCCCTCGAAGCATCATTGTGTGTACAAGGGCGTTCGGTACAATTTCGTGAATTTCATTAAAAGAACGCATTTTTCTACATGCGCCGATAGAGAAACATTACTAAACGACGCGTTTGTTCAGCTCGATTGCCACTCTCTCATCGAAGTCTCCCTAGAGTAGGCCACCACACAAACGTTCAGCAGACTTAAACTTATGACTAATAGTAAGATAAAAATACTAAAAACCCAAAAGCCCAATTCAGCCCATACGAATAATTATGGCAAACCACACGAACGAGCCTATAGAAAATACCATCTTAAAAACAGCATACAATAACCGTATCTAAATTCGAGGATCGCCAGAGATGGCTTCCGAGGCTCTTTTCGATGAATTCCTTTTTTCATTCCCCGATGTCCTCAGTCACCGAATCCCTCTTCTATGTTAGCATGCGAATATCTTTCACGAACCCTTCGCACGCCTTATATTGACCGGCGACAGCATTAGATGTCTACTACAGTCTATAATCGTGATGGAACCTATCCGCTACGACGTCTTTGGACTATATCCACTTCGCTCTTCTTCCTGGTCTAATTCATTATTTACTGTTTTTTCATATACGAATTAAATTGCCTCATGACCTTCTATCTTCCCATCCGTTTTTGTCAGTTTCTTTCAATCGCATGCTGTAAATTTATTTTGTTTTTTTTTAAAAATAGTGTGATTTACCAGCGTACTTGGCTGTGTGAGACCATATGACTTGCCTGACCTCCTTGCTCAAGAACTAACAAGAACAAACTCTAATTACGCGATAAGCTGTAGCGAGTACAGAACGATGACGAGGAACGCAAAAAAGGAAAAGCTTTAGGATCTACTTAAACTTTTCTTGCTATCAGGAGCAAACGGAAACACTACACGACGTTTTGCTGTCCTCAGACTTACTTTATTGTTATAGGAAAATCATTATATAAAATAAATTTTAATGTGAATAATTATGTATGTACATTTGTCGCGAAATATTTCTATCCGTACACGTGTGTAAGTGTGCATATATGTACTGAAAAAAATTTTGGTCTAGCTACGGATGACAAGTGTGCGTGGCATAGAGGATATTAACAAAAGAACAAACATTCAGACTTTACATTGTTTTGCAATACATCGAATCAAACGACTGATTACTTGCGCGACTGTACACTAAGTTAGTTCTTGGTAAAGTTTCTAATTCATCCGGTATTGAGCTGAGTAGAATTCAGGGACGGATTTGGCTACTCGGAAACATTATAGACAAAGACAAAACATGCACTATTACCAATATGTGTTATCGCAGGAAACGTCACTAAAGAGCACACAAGTATATATAGACGCGTTCTCGTATGTGCGTAAGTTCATATAAAAACCCAACAGATGAAAACGATGGAACGTGAAGTTTATAAAGTGACACGTAACACAGCGATGTAGAGTAAAAACGTGGAAAAAAAAACACAGCGGAACAACTAAACTGGTCGTGCCAAATCTCAGCCGTCGATGGAAATCTGTAAAATATTTATAAAAAATAAAGGAGAGCATTGTTATGTACGAAAGAACACCGACATATAGCACGGCGTATGCTAAAGAACACGAAGGACAACGATGACCTATCCGACGTGTACCTAGAGTAGGAAAAGGAGTTGCAAATATCGGCGCAAGTAAACACAAAAGAGATTTTGAAGAGAAGCCGTAAATTGACATTCTTACCAGAAATATTCACGGTACCATATATGGTTATCTATTTCACTACCTAGCATACTAACAAGATATACATGTCTTGTGAAGAAAAACAGTTTATGTATTGTAACATGGTATCTCTATGTAAGGCTAAACACGTAATTTTGATCAATTAATGTGTACTATAGTCTAATTTCTGTCGAATGAGCTTTCGAGCGAAGCAACGTTTGAAGGACGGGCACAAAAAAAAAGAAAAAAAAAAACAACGAGAATGATAATCTCTAAAGCAAGCTGGATATTGATTATACAAGAGCCATTATTATTATTATTACTATAAATGTAATGATGACTGTGGATTAAATTGAGCAATGCTGGAAAATTTGGTGGATCCCAAACCGGACGTTACTCAGAGCCAGATGAATAGTGTTGTCGCAAGCTGCTCTCACACGCTATCCTTACGTGGATAGAAAAACATTACAAAGATTCATTTTTAAGTAACGAAAAAAATGATCATATTAAGAATAATTATTATTTACTAAATAAAGGAGCAGAAAAAATACGAGAATAGAAGTTCTATGTTATTATTACCAATTATTATTACTAGTATATGAGATATGAGGTGATGAGTAGTGTATTATACGCAAAGAGAACTCTATACGAGTATATAAATATAATAAAGAAATATAAAAGAAGAGATGGTGCCGCGCAGGTGGTCGATTTGTGTTCGGTGAAACAAATCCAATGATTAAAATGAAGATATTGATGGAATCGAAAATTGACCATGATGACGATAATAACAGCAGACAAAAATAAAGAAAACGTCTTACAGAACTAAAACAGCTGGCCTTTTCCATTCGCAATAGAAAAAAAGGACACGATTTTTATGCCTGTTACCATTTAGATTCAACAACCTTCTTTTAATTACTTTTAAGATCATATAATGAACAATCTACATTACACTATATATATATATACGCAAACGTATCTAAATAATGACAGTAAAGAGATTCGTAGGTCAGTCGCTGACGCAACAGATCTGAGAAAAAGTGTTTAAAAATATACTACACGAGCAGATATGCAATACAACAAAACCGGTAGAATCAGGAAATCAAACATTGATTTGTAGGTTAGTATTTAGCTTGACTTACCTATATAGGAAGGGTATGATTATTTTTATATTTAAAAGTGGGCGATTAAAGAACACGCTCGTTCGATACTCCACGATAAGGAATTCGATCAGGAACAAAATGTCGTTACATATTTAGCCATATGATACAGTTTCTCCACTAATAATAAGTTACACCGAAGTTCACTCGAGTACGTTCTGCTGCAATTTCGTTTACTATCATCTACCGAGTTCATGGTTGTGTATACATACATTTCCTTTTTACAATTTTCATTCGATTTCCTTTCACAAATTTTCTAATGAAGTTAACGATACACATATAAGCTGAACTTTAGGGCCTATGAAAGTTAATCATGAATGTTTTATCGACCTTTTTGTTCTCGGAAGTTCGGAAGAGGTATGGTCACTGTTAAGCAACGAGACTATAAGTTGATGTTATCTGCAGCTGTGTTCGTTATTGTATTGCAAGCTGAGATGATAAGAATTGGTAAATAGCTATGATATTGCTGTTTTTGAAATGCTTTACCACGTACAAAGTAGAAAACCGTCCAGCCCGAATAGCGTTGTGCGTAGGCATACGCCTTTACGCTATTTTCTACGCTAAACGATACAGAGGCGTAATGCCTTTAAGTTAACTGCGAAGCCGTTTGATGGGTGACATGGATGTGCGCCTTGTTGTTAGACGAAATATACCTATACGACTAATGCTTACACATTAGTTTATGTGAGCAAGTTCCCGGGCACGCACGGTCTGGCCGGCCTGTTTTAGCAGACGATGTGGCTCTCGCGCTCCTTTTGCCGCCGCCGCCGCCGCCGCCATCTTGATCCGCTACTCTCCCCTGAATAGAGGCAGAGGGGTCGTGAGGGGTATCTTCCGACCCCCGGCGTAGGAACCATCCATTACTATTCCTTAGGTTAGTGCCTGCTCAGTGTCCGCTGTTCCGCGCACCCACCGTGTGCGCTATATAAAGGGAGACATCTAGTCGTACGACCTACAGCTGCCTACAATTGCTGCCGTGATTTTTTTCTTCTAATCGCCGCGTATCGAATTTACAGAAGCAGCCACGATACCCACAAATTGTAACGAGCTGACAGTTTGTTTACCGTTGTGGTGCTAATCGGGTCAAATCGCATTGGACGAACGGCTACCCGACAGTAGGGGCTCGTGGTTTTTTGTTGCCTAGGTTCGAGTTACAAGCGCCTTCATATGGTCATCTGCTTATCTTCAATACGTATTCAGCATTACGCCCGAACAAAGTACTACTCTAATAAACTTCAACCACCATCACATGCGCGAGTATAGGCAACGCGATAAGCGAGAAATCGTTTCGGTCAAACTAAGGGCCTCCTACGCACACTTCATCTCCCTGTTATACGGTATCATCTCCTCACCCAGGCAAAATCTGGCCTTTCGTCAATCTTGGGTGAGTTGTATAGGGTCACATAGGTATTTCCTTTGCGTATGTTGATAATTATGTATGAAGTTATCTATATCCTCCTCGATGGACCGTACGCGAGTAATCGATATTACTGGCTATTCAACTTAGGGAACATCGTTCTCGCACGTTTGAGTTAAAACGCTCCGACTTTAACATAATGCATTTATTAATCTAATGTTTGAGTAAAGCAACTTAAAGTTCTGGTGTATGAAAATTACTTGTTAAGTGTCCGTCCACGCGCAGTAATATAATTTTTTAATATACAATAAATACATTGAGTGCTTGGAAAGTTACGCGGGTTCATTATTCTTACCAAATTACCATAGACACCCATGCAAAGTATTTACGAACAAATTACGCGTTAAACGTGTTCAACATCATAACGCCTGAGCGTATTCGGAACAATGCTACGTCTTTCTCAGAGCGCGTTGTAAGACTGATGAAGAAAAATATTCTATAGGGATGCGTTAATGCGTCGGTTAGATAAACTACTTTTGTTTTCTATATACAATTTATAGCATCAGCTTCTACAGTTCTGTAGTAAACCTTTGCTAAATGCGCTTTCCCAAAATATATACCCTATGCCAACAACAAGGTTTTCCATTAATTAAATCTTGTTAATATCTCTATAAAACACACACATATAACCTCGAACAGTTATCGATTTCTTAAAAGCAGCTGAAATTACTTGTAAGCCTATGGCTGTAACGGTTATTGGTCACTTTTTGTTCTGACACAGTACCTCGTCACTCGGATCCTTTGACCTTCTATATCGGCCAGTGGTGAAAGGAGTTTTGCCGACAAGAGTCCCAACACAAGTGATCGATCAACCTGCGAACAAGAAAGGCTGGACAGGGGAAATAGATAACCAGATAACAATTTTATATTATCGCTATGTTTTCAAAAATCGCGTCACTCACAGAGTTCATTCAAGGTATGGAATAAGCTAGAATGTCGTTTTCGAACTTCTTCCAGGGCCTACGACCTAATATAAATGTACCACTATAATAGTAATCCTATAATGTATTGCGATGTTTGGTACAAGCACAAGCCTAATTTCGAATATCATTCGGATTGTTAAAGTTATTGTCAAATATGCCGAATCAGCTTTGGATTATTCAGCAAATAAATAACGACAAACCGCGTTACGGTCAGTTAGCATAACGTCATCTGTAATGACCTAGCTTTCGAATATCCATTCCAGTTATTTGACACGTGAAACAACCTCTGCCTTGCTCGTTCAAGAACAACTGCAATACAAAAAAGGCTATAGGTAACATAGCAATGTATAACGTTCTCTTGCGGATGTCGTCTACGTTCTTCAATGTTCTTACTCATGTTTACAGGTCTCGCATTCGCTATGTTCGTGATTGCTTCCGTGTTACAGGTAGGTTCGCACCAAAAGAGTTCCGGATGTTCGTGTAAAATCCTTACCCGAGCCCTATGCCACTTCCATCTAAAGTTACAAATGTAATTAGTGTTATTTTTTCATGAAACAAACGATTTATATTGTTTATTTCTAATTGTCGACTATATCTACGCTTGAAGTGCAGATAGATAGATAGATGCGCGATAAATCTATTGCGGCTTGAAGAAATTAGAATTGATTAAATGCAAAATATGATTCTCAAAACACTTTACCTGTTAGCTTTCTATTTAAGGTTGCAAATATACCTGACCTTTAACAAACAGTAAGTGAACCCTAAATTTGCCGTTCTCGTGTCCACACGGTAGGGCCGTAACGAGTTTGAAATGGTTTCTTCTTGGAGCATGTTATCAAACTGGATAGCATCTAAATCCCTTTAGTCTCCGGCATCGAAAGGCTACCAGGATCACAGTAGTCAATTGCAGTTGAGAAAGTACGACAGATCCTATCATAGGATGCGTTTAGAACAAAACCGATTGTACTAGATCAGTTAGTTACGGTTTATATAAGAAGAATCCTTCCAGACACGATGAATATATTTGCTCATCTATCTTCGACTTGCTCTAGCTTCGCCGTCCGAATGATATGGCGGTCGCCCCACACTCAAAGTCTTTTTATTTTTTCCAGCTATTAAATATGTTTCAGCTAGGCCAAGTGGAGAACTGTGCATGATCGTCATCCTTATTCCTGCTATATTGTTTCAGGATCTATAGACAAGTGGCACAAATTATCAAAAGTGAAATAGGCATTTGCACGTAAGAAGTATCCTTCTAACAATTGTCGTTGAATCAGGTAAATGGCGTTTTAACGAGTCCGGGTGCAGATTTAGCGCGCATCATTCGCTTGTTTTCTATCCGTCACGGGCAAATAATTCAACCCACAGCATCACAGGCAAATGGTGCGCGATACTTAAACGATACGGTAACAGCAACAAATGAAGATTGTTTAATTTGGTGCTGGGAGACGACGCAATGTAACGTTGCCATTTTTGGCACCCTGGTTAGTATGAATCTACGGATAAATGCACGAATTATTATGGTTTCCAAGTCAATTTTTACCGTTCAGCAATCGAAGTACTCATTTTAACAATGTTACAATGCCTATTAGATTTTGCGTAAAAATGAGACGTTTTTCGTTTTTACAGACACCATTTGAGAGTGCATGATACCGCTTAAAGACCACCCGTTCAGAGAGGGAACTGTGATTCCCTCGGAACTCTGCCTAGCTAAACAAATGGACATTGCTGAAAGCAAGAAGATTCATTACATCTACTATTGAATCAGCCAACTGAATACATTTTACTTAGTGGCCCGTTCTTAAAGAGTTGCTGTCTAAAGACAATGCTCGTTTCGTTCACCGAGTGCCAGCCAGAGGCTCATTCGCGACAACCATGTGTGGAAATAAGCTTCCTATTTGAGGAAAAGTAGCATATCTTCCCTTTGCTACAAGCTGGTGTTCTGCTGACGAGCGAAAAGTAGATGACGGCCTATTATCAGTTGCTGTCGTAATAACTAGTGATCCTAAGTAGTCAACACCGTCATAACGCGGCTTCGATACTTGTGAAAAGAGACGAAATACGTTTTTATCCAGAAATATTCTACTAAAGAGCGTATCTGAAGACATGCCAATCATTTAACTATGTTTCTAGCCAGTAGACTAATTCACAGATCGGGGGAAAGCAGAAACGCATTTAACACATGATACTCTTGACCGCAACGCGCTTGTCAGAGGACGAGCTTATGGGGAATGATTCCCAATAAACGCCTGCTGATCGTCGATTGTTCCGAAACATAAATCGACAGTTCAGTGAAGCAGGATTGATTGCCAACAGGAAATAAGGCTTCGAGAGGTCCAAGAAGGGTTACCTAGAAGATCAAGTCGACGAATTCTTGTATGAGCGCCTGAGTGCGATGTAAGAACGATTAGGATACTCCAAAGTGAAGAGCTACATCTATACCGTTAGCAACGTGTTCAGATTACATAATGCACGCATTAGTGGGCCTATGTGAATCCAGATCATTCACCTTCGGACTGATCAGGTTCGCTGTACCGTATTCATTAAAATACAATCTCAAAGATCTCGCTTAGTAATACGCTTTCGTTATAAACGTAAAGGTTACTGTATTTTTGAAATAGCACTTTGAAGGGAATGTGGCGCAAAAAAAACGAGGCGCCAGCACACTTTGGCGCTATAGTACGCAAGATATGAGAATGAGTGTGTTTGTCAAAAGGGGCCCGCCGCACGGCCGTCCTGATCACTTCACCTGTCTTTATTTCTTCAAATCCCTGTTGAATCGTGAACCCTGAAGAGCTAATCGCGATAAGTTCTTTGATCGTTAAATAAAATACTACTTGATATCGTAAAAAAAAAAACGTTACTTTATTTCTTACTAGAATCGAGACTTTCCTATGGTTAACGGTTTTCGGCTACGAGTTGTCACATCCGTCACTTGAGCTAAAGAACTAAAGTATCTACCTTGAGGATGTGTGTATATATATATATGTGTTTAAATATTTGGAGAATCTTCATTCTACATCTGTTAAAGTAGCAGGAAATATGTGAACTATTAAACAATCAAGTTTTAAAATGAGCGAGTTTTGTCGAAGAGGCTGTCCAGCAGTTTACTGCAGCGTATGACGGTGCGCCGCATTTGGGCCATATCGCACCATGTTCTATACAGACAGACGTAACCCTCAGCAAATGAAAATCTACTGTCGCACAAATGATCCGATGAAGCCTGTCTACCGTGAAACGTATACCTATATTCGAAAATTCGTTCTGCCCGGCCCTTTCCAGCCTCCATTTAGCACAATTAGAATATTATAAAACTCAGTATCGATGTGCTGATTAACCCACATAAGATAGGAATCGGCAGTTTCTAGCTGCACCTCGAGTCCTACTATGAATAGCGATGTGTCACCTAAAGAATATGCGTATTTGTTTTAGCACGTTTTAGGAACAAGGTTCAAGTCTTTCGAGCTGCTTTAATAAGAAGTGTTTCCACACAATTTGTATTCCGTGGGAAGCAATCCAGCCAACTTTTATTTTTAACAAGGCCATAACTTTGCTCAAGTAAATACTTAATGGTATATTCCTACATTCGCAACCATCGTTTGCTGCGCTCTATTCATGATATGCTATGCGAAACTCGGGCATTCACCCCTATACAACTGAAGCTACCGACGTACTTCAAAACCGTTCTGTCGAACGATGCGCACATGCGGAGGCGATGGCCTCCACGGCAAAACTTCATGGCATCTCTCTGGCATATATTACGACGGCCTGGCGCACGCGCAGTGAACAGGAAGCCGGCTTCTTTCAAAAATGACAGAATCGTCGGCATACAGAAATCCTTTTACCTGTTTCGCTGGAGTGATAGGCTATTCAAGAACGGAAAGAAAAGAAGAGGGTTCAAGTTATCATTCTGCGCGATACCAGTTGGTGAAACGAGTCACTCTACATAGAATACTTGAGTTTTTTTTCGGTATCGCTCTGGTAAAATGCAGCATGCTCTGTGAGACTTCGTATTCTGCTAGCCTTATTAAAACCCATTCTCTGTCAGCTATATTGAACGCCGACTTAAAACCCCCAACACAGCGAAGAACACCTGTACGGGTCCGCGACAGACTCAATGCGGTATATCACATGTTGTGCGAATCGTGGGTGCTATGAAAAATCCGCAAGAAACAATTGTTCAGCCGGAATCCATGAACGAGCACCCAACAATGTCGTCAACTGGCGTGTATTGAGTTGACCAGAAAGTTCATAGCAAAAGCTTTCGTTTGCGGTCGCCCTCCATAAAGCCGAGTCAAGTGGGTGGCTTTCTGGATAATGCGTTGGGGAGGGTAGCCGTCCTCTGGCTTGGTGGTAGGCATCCATGTCGAAAGTAAGCACTACACTTGTCTAGCGGTATAGGCTAAGCGCTCATTGTGGGTCAGGTCCGATCCAGCTGCCTCGTTCGATTGAACCTGTCCAAGGAAGCGAAGTACCTCAAACACAGAGAATCTATCTTCTAACTCCTCATGCATTCTGACTGTTTGGTCTTCCCAAGTACTAGTGTACATAGGCAGGATTTGTGCAGTGGTGCACGCCGCCGCATCCTTCGAAAGTAGTTTATCAGCTCCCCGGAAGTTAGCTATAGCCAACTGTATGGTTCCCCTTCCGCTTGTATTACTGACCAGCACAAAGCGCTACTGACGAGCTGACTCGAATATTTGCGAATGCCAATTTTTCAGAATACCACCAATTGACCCATGGCCGGGCAACCCTTCGCCGTTTCCCCCGACAGACGTAGCGCGGCTGCGGCCAATTTACAGCTTATAGCGGACGCACGGCCGCCATAATAACATAGATTAAGCCTAGCCGAATTGCTAGCAGCATTGTCTTTTGAATTTCGTTGAATATGTCGTATAACATGTTCCATGGCGAGCTGTGGCTAGAGGAAAGTGTTCTTCCAACAGGCTAGGTCCTTTTATGGTGCTTGGTCTGTAGACCTATTAGCGTTAGAGGTAAACGAAATAAAGATATTTGGCCGCACGTATACACGTGCGGAGACAAGAAATGTATCGCTCGTATCGAGAAGAAGAACATAGGGTTTTCAGGTTATATATGTCACCTCAAGTCATAACAACTCAGCAATTTCCTAATTCACTACTCCAGTTTTGTTCAACTGTCCAGATGTAGGACGAAAGCTCAAATTATCCAGAGACTTCTACTCTATTTTATTTGTATGTATGTACGTATGTACACATTAACTTATTGAATGATCGCCGTTTTTCGAAGATTTTCACGAGAATAGAATTACAGAATAAAGCATAAGACAACGATATGGCGACTGATCTAGTTAGATATCTTCTAATCATAGTACCGTGTATCATATTTACGTACAGCTTGAATGAATACATAGGAAAATATCTTTATTTTAAGCAATGAATGCTTTGAAAGTGATAAATTTCCGCAAGTTTTTGCAAGTCTTCAATGAAAAAGCAAAAGAAGATGATAATAAACATTTCAATGGTCATTCGTTGTTTGCTTACATTAATGTTTTTTACTTAAAATATTATGTGTGTTTTTTTATTTTCGTCTAATGATTAAGCGCAAATAGTTTTTTTGCTACGGCTAAATAGAAAAGTCCTTTTGAAAAAATTCAGTATTTTCTTGCGTCTTCGCAGATGTTAAGATTGTACTGTTAGTTTACCCGTAAATAATTGTATGATTAAAAAGCGACAATATTGAAATAGTGTAAAAACATATTTGTTGTTTAGGAAGATCATGTTTATATTTCATTGTAGCCTCCTTGTAATTAATTTGGACAACGTCTTAGTAGAACAAGAATTACAATATGTACACTGTCAAATAGAACAACGAGCTACTGCTAATCTCTAATGTTAATTAAAATTATTTGAAATGAAACCAAGAAGGAACTCGATACTGTTTGGTCAATTTAGGACGAAAACACAGTCGTCTTTCGGGACACCTACAGTTGCTATAGTGATCAGTAGACAAAAACATAAGAAGCAATTTTAGCGGTAAGCAAGCGAAGAATATGACTAGAGTGAAACGCTGAAAACCAGTCACGTATAATCTGTTAATGTACAATAATAAAAAAATCGTTTTGCAAAAGGCTGTCGCTAATTGATAATTGATTTCAATCATTTGCGCAGGGTCGGTCGTCAGAGCTGCTGGATAATTTTCGCGATGGTAGCGCTGTCATAACGAGTTTACCTACCCGGCGAAAGGACACAGGGGTCAACATTCGAACACGGCGCCGTAGACCAGCGCATTTTCGTCTTTCGACTAAAAAAAGAAAAGAGAAATAGAAAAGATTATGTATATTGGAATTGCTTGTTTTAGCTGACCCCGATAGTTATGATCAATCGTATTGAGGCCCTTACCCAAAAGTATCTCTGCGGCAGTTTTTCCTGGAAAATTGAGAGCGGGCTATGGAAAAGCTTTTGAAGCGATTGAGTCAGGCTTTCAGAGTAAACATTTGTACCTATAACAGGCAAAATATACTTATTCATATCCACTAAGGAGGTAGAAGGTGCATGACTCGCCGAATGTTTAAAAGCAGTCGATCGTATATTGTAACAAGTGGAATACGTTACAGCGGGTGATGGCAGGAGTCGTAAACTGGTACAAAGAAAAACCCCGCAGAACAAAGCGTAGAAGGGCCCATATACAGAGCTATAGAACATAATATAAGTCGTACATACGCAAGGCTTCACATCGGGTAAAAACGTAATGATGCTGGAAGCAAATGAGAAGACATCAGGATGCAGCAGCCGAATGGAATAAGGGTTAAATGCACATTGATGGGCTATACCTATTTTCGAATAGAAATATTTCCAACAATACAAAACACTTTAAAAATGATTATGTCTTAACTGGGCGATCTTGCCAGTATATTGTTACAAGCTTCAATGATTTCTTCAATATAGAAATGCTTTACAGAGGGTGGAAGAGGTGCAAGGAAGAGATGTTGTGAGTCGGAAGTGCTATTTGTTCGACTGCGGCCCTGGAAGTCGCCTGTGCAGCTTCACGGAGAACGAGAACTATATCACATCGTGCCTCACCCATGGATTGCCAAACCACGCTCATGGTCACTCGCAGTTACAGAAGCAAACAGGAACTTACCCTTACCAGTTAACTGCAGATGATTCAGCCTCTCAGGGCAAGAGCTCAATACAGGATCTTAACAACAGTAAGAACAATGGCCTCCGCGGTTTGGAGAAATCTAAGAATAACCCAGATACTAAAGGTACAACCTTTGAATATTTTATATATTGATTTAAATTCAAAATTATCATTGAATACTATCGCCTCCAGAGAACTAGCCACCTTCTAGAGCCCGCTCTGTTTCGTAATTATAGATGAAACAGCCAAATTACCAACAGTAAACTGCGCTTTTTTGTGTGTATCTATTTAATTTCCAGCGTAAAAGTCCACTCACTCTTGATTAGCTTAAGATTTTACTAATAAATACTCGATATGCTGAACGGCTCTCTGGATTTACTCGTTGTCTATGTAGACTGTGAAAAAGCTTCACCCAGTTAAATATAGAAGTGCATAAATAAGCAACAGGTCGAAAACAGCTTATCAAAGTATTACCTCAGACTCTAAGCTATCTGTTATACCGTTGTATTACGTGAGAAAGAGATTGTTCTCACGTAAGAGTTCTCATACCGCTGACAGGTGGAAACGAAAGTCCACTTGGTGGATGTTTCCGATGTCTCGACGATTCTTCATGCATTTCTACGGCAAAACTTTGCAATGGGGAAATCGATTGTAGAGACCGAAGTGACGAAACTTCATGCCAAAATAACATCTACAACAAAAGCAACAAAAACTACTTCAGGTAATGAGGTTGTAACATAAACAATGTCGATTTTTCATTTTATAATCAGCGTAGCAAAAAAAAAGGCTAGCAAATATATAATTTATTGTATAATTGCTGTCACGTCTCGCTACCTTCTCCCATCTATCAATGAAGCAATTTATTATATAAGTAACTCTACCTCACCAGAAATGATCAGGTATTATTCAACAAGGCTTCTTTTCTCTAATAAACGTACGGTTTTCTATTTCATTTGGCAATGAACAGAAAAGATGAATGGGAATCTGGTGGTTACAAGAGAGCGTTTTGCTCTTGCACAGCAGTTTTAGCACCGCTTACCATGTATGATCCGGCATTTCTCGTTACCTATCGAGTCTTTCATATTGAAAAGCCTAGTTCGCTTAAAGCAGTTGGCCCATATGGAGGTTCCTGTTAACAGTCATCTTCTATTCGAATAATTCCCAGTGTATAAAATCGCTTCTGTATCTCAAACCCAAACCATAGTCCTCGTGAGATGAAGATCTGGCCAACTCTGAGCTTAAGCGTATCTTCCTGGATTATTAATGTCACTCCATGCTTTACAGCGACGAAGATACACCATCCTTCTCGTCCGTCACAGCTACCGGGCGAAATGTTCAAGCCCAATGTGCCTAATACCGTCTCTAGCACACCATAGTTTCTAATTTCTGATGAAGATTGATGCATTCAAAAAATACACGACGATTTTATGATGTAACATTGGCCTGTTAACGAACTGTTTACTTTTTGAAGCTTTCATCGAGTGAAATAGGGTAGATGTTTTATTTGTCTCCCGAGAAACGTCCATATCTAAGGCTTAAACTCGGCGTAAATTTTGAATATTGGACTTTGAATATTGATAAAGCTTAATAGAGATACGATTTAGTTGAAATTAATAGATATACTGCTTACATTTTTACGTTAGGTATCGGGGTGGCGAGCCAGAGGATCAGATGGTATACGCGGCGGATTCATCTGTACGTCTGAAGTCTGTTCATCATCGTCCAGATCAAGCAGACAGTAAAGCAAAAGGACATAGCCATTTTGGTACCTCGAGAATAGGTCAAGAAAGGCACTCAACGCCGCTCCAAGGCCAGGCCCAAATCTTAAACGCAAAAGAGACTTCAACGTTAAAAGTTAAGAAACCGGATCAGCACGATGATGGCTACGAACATGATTCACCCAGTATGAGTATAAGTCTTACGCAGGTAAGCTAAGCAAAAAAAAACTAAATTACATTATAAAAAAAAATGAGCTAAGATGCACATTAAAAGAAGAGGAAATACTTTGCATGCTTGTTACTTACGAGTTAGGCTAAATGGATATTAACAAACATCCTGGTAAAATGATTATTGAAACGCGTAACAAGACCCCGAAAACTTCTTTATATATATATACTAAATGTGTAATAGTATATCTAAGTTATTGTTTGTTTGCAACACTTTCACCTCTATGTGAAATCCCGTATATAAAGTTATATAATCGGTATCTTAGTAAATAGCTTCCGTAACGAAGCCTTATTTAATTTATGCGACTTATGAGTGATAATAGTGATACGACCACATATTTGATCATCCTCATGCTGCTGCTGCTGCTGTTGACCATGATCATGTTGCTGATGTTATTTTCGCTGCAGGTGGACTCCGGTGAAAAACATGCAAGTCCTGCTGAGGCCCAATCTGGAGTGATACTAGCGATCGCCCTTGGCCTTTGCGTAACTGCACTTCTGCTCGTCCTGGTCGGATGCAAACTACGTCTGGTCAGGAGGTTGGGTCACGCTTTGTAGCCTCAACCATTCTCAGTTTCTCCTTAGCCCCGGGGCCTAGATCGCTTGACGAGTCCCCGATTTGTAGAAGATTGTTTGTTATCGAAGTCCGCGTTTATATACGCACCCATTCTAACCAACCAATGCCTCTATCCAAAAGATTCGTTGGAACATATGGTTCTTCTCAATTTAGTAAAGCCTTAACAAAAGTATCTAAACACTCGACAATAATTAAATCTATGTTCTGCTAAGTGACACACTTATTTCTTCAAATAGTACAAGAAAAGATAGATGTAACGTTTGGAATATGTGGTCTGCCTTGTTCATTAGGAGACTCGTAAATTGGAGACGCGAAAACCGCAAAGGACTTAGCCTGCTTGCGGATGATGTCGATGATGACGACGACGATGATGAAGATGAAGACGCTGTTCATGGGATTATTTAAACGTTTAAAGGCCGGGAAAATGGACGCCGACGACTGACTTAAGCCAACATCCGCTACGAATAACAACCGCTACACGGATGTCTCGTGACACGATCTAAGTGACGGAAAAGTTGCGGCGTCCGTTAATTACAGGACAACAGGAGCCATGATTCCAGTACTATGCACCATACGTGAAGTGACTAAGCACAAAAACCCAAAAGACTTCTCTAAATTGTGCTATATTGACTGGTATTATTGACGTTGCTGTTAATTTACGTTGTTGGACGAATTTGTCTGACAATATTATTTCATTTCTACACAAGTTAACAAAGTACGATGATAATTTAATGACCAATCACCATTAAGGCTGCTCGTATGAGCCAAGGGTGGGCAGGGGAACAGGGTAAAAGCTGGTCCTCTAGCGCCTGATGATCGCTAGCTAGAATATACGACGCTCCTATGATACGTGGCGATGTGCGTTTAGGCGCAAGTACTAAGTATATTACCATATCAGTCTGTTTCCTCATCTTTAAAATAACAAACATATTGCCTGAAATATGGTTCAAACGTTTATTCTAAGTGATCGCGTGACCTGCTTATGACTCATGACTAGTATGATCCTGTTAAGTACTTCATTATAATTATTATTAGTACTTTATTAGCAGTACTACTTACAAGACGTGAAAGCTCTTTGAAGTCGTTACGTACGTATACATGTATCTACGCAGGTATAGCTAAAGATATACCTAGTGCATCGAGTGAAATAGGTTATTGTGATTACGATGAGGATTATTGTTATTATTATATAATTTATTGTTATACTATATAACTGTACAATTCCTGGTTATAGACGTATGCGTTATTACTTACTGTGTTTTATATATAATGTATTACTTTGTATAACGACGCGCTTCAAATAATCTAGGGGCGGAGATTATATTGATCCTCACTCAGTTAAATAGACCAGCCGAAGTGCCCCAAGTTATGGTACAGAGCTAAAATTGTTTCCATATTACTCAACTGTTCTCACTCAAAGTTCTAAATCTCTCTGTCGATTCCTTTTGTTGTTCTAACCTCCTTAAAGGATTATTTCATTTCTTGAGCATTCTAGGGGAGTAGTTTTGTCAAATTAAACAGTAATGGAAATATTTATATTGGTAGCAGCAGTGGCCATTTTCAATTAGTGTCGTAGCTAGGCTTTGCCAATAGTACCAGACAATTACATATTACGAGCAGAATTCATGATATATACACGCAGACTAGTCTCATACATTTTTACAAACAGTATTACATAAGTTACCATCTTCATCCACAGCCAAATTGATCGATATACAACATTTATATGTAAAAACTATGTAAAGAGTGTTATTTTGCGGGTTCGGTTTGTATTGGTACGCTAGAACGCAGTCACTTGATGTATCCCTGGGCTACCTTATACGATTTGTAATAACGCTGACTAGATAGCAAATATGCACGGACTTGACCTTAACCTGAACTTTTACAATGGACGAACAATACCCAAGCAGAACAGTACGTGGGTACCAATCTATTGTTATTTGATTGTGTAGGACACTCACGGCTTCTAGCAACGTTTCGGCGTTGAGTCCAAACTTTCACAGGCCGACTGCTAAAGCCTGCTGAAATTTAGACGTGTATTGAACGGAGAAGAAAGGTCGAAATGGGAAAAATTGGGTGTTCCTATCGGGGCTTAAGTATAAAGCATTCTCAGAAGCTAGTAAATCCATATAAAGACTCGGAAATTGTTGTGAAGATCTTATTAATGATAGGGAATAGCGCTTTTTCTTCCGTTATAACATGATACCTGTATAAGGTGTAAACGTCAATACTGCCGCCTCTGTCGCTAAGCGGCCCTATACACCTATATATGTGTATAAACCTATGGACGGAACATGTGCGGCCATTCGGGGATCTTTCAAGCAGTTATTCGGTTCATTATTTACGTCGACTAAATTCATCCGTCAAGAAATAAAAAAAATACGCTCTCTCCATGAGAGCCTGCATAGGGCTCGATATATACGGCCAGAATCCACATAACACAGTACCAATACATTCTGTTGCTAGCGTTTTTCATACACTTTTTTTGTAAATAGCCGATTTCAGATAATAAATACTAACTGAAATAATAGCTTATGAAGGTGTATCGCACCGATTTATTTTTTGCCGTTTTCAGCGCTCTAGTGGTTATAGTCTCTCCATAATTTGGGACAGTTGGATAACTAGCAGTCTACTAGGCTGCTTTACGTTAGTGTGAATCTGGTATCCCTAAAAAGTCGTTAATATCTCGAAGCCGAAAGTCGTTGTACTGTGAGTAGGAAGTTCAATGCGCAGCTTCTGGAGTTGGCAAGTTTAAGTTCTAATAGCGCGCGATAAAAATCACAGAAGTGGCAGGATAAGAGGACAGAGCGATGAGGGAATGAACGGTTGAATATAGCAGTGACGAAACGATATACCGATGTTCTTGTTCGACATAAAAAGAAAATGTTTCTCTACATGCATTGTCTGGCACCCACTTATACCACGATATGTTGTCTGTGTCCATCATAGGATATAGTTTAGTTTAGCAAAACGATGAGCTACGCAAGAGTTGAGTTAACGCAGTAAGAACGATAGTAACTTTCGAAATGGCTCACAATTGGCTTGATATATATATATATATATATATATATATATATATATATATATATATATAGAACGTTACTGAAGAAGTACTACACATTATTCATAGTACTAGTAGCGTTACTATTACCACAAGCCAATCTTAGCAGAAACATATGATTCTGATACGTTTAGAACCGGTTTGTTGCTAGGCGTTAACGTCAACCGGTGGCGAACTGTAGACAGATATTTATTTACGATATAAAATAAGCGAGTGAAATAAGGTATGAAATGTCGGCCATCAGGACACCCTGCCAACAATCTTCTCCGTTATATATTTTACGTTATTTCACAAACTCTAATCGTAAACATGTAAGAAGAAATGGAACGGTAGAGTATAGTATAGTAATCGAGCGTGAGGTAAGAGTTGGCAGCAAAAATAGTGATTTAACCATTGTTGTTGTTGTTGTTGTTGTTGTTTGTTGTTGTCAAAACTATTACCGATTAATTGGAGTGTGAGAATGGCCACTGCGTTTTTACCCTCCCTCGAAACAGAAATACACTTCGAAATTGTTGTTGCTAGGGGCAAGATTGACAAGATTCGTCTATACGTTCCGTACGACAGCCATAAATAATGACAGCGCCTATACAAACAGATCACGCTTCAACGGAAGCCAAGCAGCAGGTCAAGTGATTCAAAAAAAAAAAAAGCTAGTCCGACTAACTGATGACCCTATATTGAAGACAATTGTCGTTTAGTCTGGGCCATTGATGTTGCTGCGTTTGTATATCATAAAATATTGTACAAATTAGTTTCAGATGTTAAGGTCAATGCGTTTACAATGCTTGAGACTTTCACTGTAGAGGTGTTTGTGGAGAACAGAGGCTTTTGTGGTTCTCTTTGTCCGAAAGGTAAACGCAGATATCACTGCTTTCAACTCGTCGGCGAAACAATGTGGTCAGATTTGTAGTGCGTTTACACGGTTTCCTATTTACTCCATACGTTATGGATATGGACAACTAAACATCATCATCTGGCGTGGTTTGCGCTAAGTCAAAAGCCTAATCCAGCTAACATTCCGAACCTTTCAGGCCTTGGGGCATAAGCGAATGCGGCAGTTCACAGCATACCAAGGCTATCTTCAAAACTAACACCTGAAAGTTGTCTTTGGGCAGAAGAATCTTCCTAAGCTCTGCATGGATGATTTATACTGGGTGAAGTTTGTATTTGCTGATTTCATTTTTCGTAATTTGCTGTACCCTCAAAGTGGATCGTACCTTCCGTGTTCATTTGATTAGTCGACAAGAAACTCGTAGGCTAAGAGGGGCACTTTTGCTCCATACTTGGTCTGCGAGCTTCTTGAGGATCACCTGGTCATTGCACACAAGCTTTGAAGAACATATATGCACATATATAGTGCACTATAATGCGGTATCGGTATTTCACACTGGACTTTGTAGCCTTTTCTCAATGGTTCCAGGTCGATGTCAACTTGACGACAGCCGGCAGGACGAGTCTATTGAACTTAATCATAAAATAATAATAATAATTTGCCTACGTTCCCGGGCCACACCACCATCACGGTTGACGAACACATGATCTATAGTCAGTAATAAAAAAAATGAAACGATTATGTGTATTTCACCTAAATAAATTCAAACGCTATTTGACTGATGATGATTCGTAGTTGGGGGTTGGCGGGCAAGAGGAACTTTTTACCTTCAGTCCCTCTTGCTCATGTTTAACTTCACACAATGCTAATGGCGGGGCGACGACCAGAATTCTCTTAATATAACTAACTACGAAATTAGATGGCCATTTAGTAACGTAACGGAACGTATCGCTTAGTACAACAGCTTTTTGCCCACGGCGAGCGTAACCATATTTCAAGTCGATAAAACTCCGTTGTTATCCGAATTATATTAATAATATAATATATGATAAAATACCGAGTCGAAGACGGAAAGAATATTGTTAATTCACCGATATTTATAACAGCAGACCTAAGCGTGTATAACTGCAACATACGTGCCACTGAAGGAATGGAAAAGTTCCTAAACACCCAAAAGGAACGCGCTGAAGGCCTATGTGCATTTCTACGAGTGAGATTAGAACATTAAACAGAACCTAAATTTTTCTAGTGTAGCATTTTTCAAACGTAAAATCTATTCCGCTATAAATCGAAACATTCGTTTATTACACATTGACACTTTTTTAATGCGTTTCTCTACCGCAGGGAACATTATGATGATGTTGGAGTGTTTACAATGTCTAGTCAACCAGTTCTTTTGGTAGTCACTACGACGATGGCGTATCCGAAGGATATACCAACACCGTCTCTATCTGTTCGTGTTGAACAACAATAACGGAAAAAATATGAATACTAGTACATAGTGTGTAGTTACAATTTGTTTGTAAATAGATGTAAATAAACGTAATAAAAATGCTAAATGTCATTAAGTGAAAAATGTTCTGTCTGTTCTTTAGGCCCTTCCTTGGACGCGAGCTGGCCTATTGCAAACTGCTCGGTCTCTGTTCGCGTTAAAACACGAATGTTACACTTCATATCAAAGCGGATATATCCATATGCAAGCGAAAGCCGTTACGAGACAGCCTCTCACTTCTTATCTTCCTAACGAACAACGACTGGCCTCTCAGCACGGCCTTCACTATCCCGAAGCCTTACGAAGAATTAGGCGACTATTGAGACAGACCACTGTGTTAATTTGGCCTCCTTCGTCGATCTCTATGACAGTCCCGTGATAGGATGTCTGTCTATTAAGCTTCAGGTCTAGCAGGGCTGTTTAGATTTGGAGCCCGGTAGAGCCATACTTTGTATCGTAATGAAAGCCAACCGTCTGAAGCAATGCCCAGCAGCAGCACCAGCACCACCACCAAACGTAAACATTCGAAATACTCTACGTAGAACATCTGCGCTGTGAAGTGATCTCGATTGGCAAAATTTGCTACTGAGAGAGAAACGAAGACAAAGTATAGATAGCAGGGGGCAATAGAAAGGCAGCAAACTGGGCAATTTTTTAAGTGTGATAAATACTATTTTCGTTACATGAAATTGTTGTGTAGCCTTGATATAGATTGGCACGCTAAATAGTCAATACCAGTATACTTTAGAATTTTGTACTATGATAGATTGAAGATGTGTACTTTTATAGATTTTATAAAAGACGATGCTCATAGAGAAGCAGTTATAGACCTCGATAGTGTAGCCGAAACTCCATGGTTCGCTTTAAGATATTTTACAACTTCATTCGCTTCTAGATATTGTTTACCGTGTTGTCAGATTTTTGATGTATTGTTACCAATGTCATTTTAGAAGGCGACAACTGTGGCTTTTTTAAAATTCGAGACTCATAATAGTAGCTAGATACGATCGGTTGATCGTTTCTTAAAGCTTTTTCGTTCTCCACTAGAAAGAGCCGTTATTTAGCACGGGGTTCGTAAGTACGGAGACGTCGCGAAATAGCGAGCAGGACAACTACCTCATCTTTCTATTATGTCTAATTATATTACTTAGTTAAATCAATTGCATTTTAAATAATCAGAACGCATCGTAGGTCTTCCACAGAACAATGGAAAATTTCAGTTATTCGCTATATGGCTTTTCCCTGATTTGTAGAGCGTAGAAACTGGCCCGACCGAGCAGCATAAAATTCATATATACAGTTGGTATCCAAATCAATAGACCTAGAACTAAGTTAAGTTGATTCAACTTGTAGGACCAATTAAAATGGACCTTATCTGTAGCGCCTCTGTTCCTTCGTATGCGCGAATACCTCTATGACTTGTATTGCCATCAGTTACGGCATACACTTGTCATGTCATGGACCACACTTTTTTTTTTAAATTGAACGCTCCACCTTAAATGGGAGACGTAAATAATGCATTAAAAAATTGCAGCTTGAGAAAGATATTTCAAATAAAAAAAGATCGTGTGTGGGTGTGTAGGAACGCTTATACATGCGTAATGAGATGAGGTGGATCTTCTTCGATCGTAGATCACAGGATGCATTGTACTTAGCAGCCGAAAGAATATACTGTTATGCAAAAGAGTCGACCTACAATTTACAATGTATTCTATCCATATGCTTCTTATCACATGATAATTAAAAAGTTTGACTTCTACATAAACGGCAGTCGTAAGACAATAATTCCGAGTACTCCGAAGATAGATCTTCGAATAATTTGATCTAATTAATACGATATGAAATTGGTGAGCGACCTGTTGTTCTTGTTCCTTTTCGTAGCGCTCTCCGTATCTCTCTACCGAATAGGTTCAAAGGAAACAATCGAACGCACTCACTGAAGAGCTCGGACTGTTCCTTACTGAAAAGGGGATAGGCCTTAACGGCTGATCGAATAGATGCTGTAGCAAATGTAGACGAGCTGTAAAAACTCGTAATTAAAAAGCAAACATTATGCCAAGATCTAGCAATAACCGCTAAACAGAAAAACTGCCTCGTCCTTATTGTTCATTAGATCGCAATAGAATCTGTCGTTGAGTTCTCTACTTTAGAATATCAATA